CTACATTTGAGAGCATTTTTTCTTAACTTTTACTCCAAGATCAGATGTTTGATTATGAATAATTTATTAAATAATGTGTTTGTTGTGTTCTGATGTTTTCGGAATGTCAGCAGATTCATTGACATTTCTCCTCTGAACGTCTCACATGGTTTCATTTAATAATTACACTACTTTATACATTACATTTGAGAGCATTTTTTTAACTTTTACTCCACTATCAGATGTTGGATTATGAATCGTTATTTTTGTTTGGTAAATAATGTTTGTTTGAGGCTTGTAGTAATTTTTCTGATGTTTCTGAATATCAGCAGATTCATCTAAATTTCTCCTCCGAACTTCTCACATGGCTTCATTTAATAATTACACTACTTTATAATGAAGGAAATATTAGAGAAAAGTCTAAAATATGAACTCATATGAATCACTTCATTTCTTTCCTACCAATCACCTCATGACCACTCAGATTTAACCGCGTTATCACTAACTAATAATAATAATAATAATTGTGAAACGCGGATAGTAAATAGTCCGAACTTTTGGGACTTCCCATTTTTCAAGCATTAAGTGCAACGGTCGGCATGTACAGGCAACTTCATCTAATTATTCATATTAGTAAACAAAATAATCAATTTTTATGCAGGAAGTGTAAACATTTCATTCCCTGGTTGGTGCCTTTAGATATTTACATATACAAATAAAAGTTATTCTACTTGTTTATGTTTTTATTCTAAATAATAACATCATAGATTGTTTCATGAAAAAGTCTCTTACCTTTAACTGTTATCTGAAGAGGATCACAAACAGCTGTACCTCGAAATGGCCAGTTCACAACCCTGAAGTAGTATGTGTCTGTGTATGTGGTCTTTAAACTGGAAAATAAAGTGGTGCAGTTTTTCTGACTCAAGTCTCCAGTAAAACTCATCGGATATGTGGAAACTGTCCCACTACTGTGGAAAATCACATTATTTGGATAAAGGTCAAAGCGAAAGTTATTTTTAATCCACACTCCAAAGGTTGTCGTTGTGCTGTTGAATTCATTTCCTTGTTTAACTCTGAAGTTACATGGAATTTGCAAACAAGATCCAGTCAGTGCTTCCATCTCTTTTGGTGCAGTGATGAATAGACCTGAATCCTCAGAACAATCAGCAGAATCACCTGTGTAACAAACTAATGATTAACAGTGGTGATTAAAATGTGTAAAAACACAACAATAACATGAACACAAAGAGAAATATACTTCAGCAGTAATGTTTTGCGTTGTGTTCTTTTTTTCCCTGAACAGTTTTTGTGTTGATTCATCTTTTTGGTTTTACAACTTTCCCCCACGAGGCCGAGCCCAGTGGGACCAAACCCGTCTCTGTCTCCAAATAACTACGTCACTTTTGTCTCCGTGATAAAAGAGCTCAGCAGGAAAACACAGATTGTAACATTCACATGAATTTAGGTTGAAATGATGTTTTCCAAACAGTAAATGATTGAAGTGAAACACAAGTGAGTGAAGATGAAGCTCACCTGAGAGGAAGAAGACACTGTGCAACACGATGGCTGTCACCATCCTAACAGACTGGTCGGCCATGACACTCACCACCTGATTCACAAACACAACATCAGTGTTCTAGGAAGCGTTCAACATGCTGTGTGCAACCACAAGTTCCTGTGTGTGAAGAGACCACAGCTCACAAGTCTGTGGACGAGTACGACTCTGAGTGTTGGATGAGAATAAAACTATGAATGTCTCCCTCTTACCAAAGAAGCCCACGTCCATAACAGAGGGACAATTAGATCAAGTGCAGGTCTTTGTTTTAGCAGAGTTCTCCCCTTAACTGCTCATATCCGTGAGTCTATATCATCTTTATGTATCACACACATCACAATAATAATAATGTAGCATTAACAGTCAGTGACTTGAGTTTAGTCACTGTGAATGACTCTGAGTCTCTGTTGCTCTGCATTACAGGACTGATGAACCTCACACACTTACTGTGTTATTAACATTTAAACTTGAAATAGATTACTTACCTCAATAGCTAAAACATTTCCTCTTTCATAGTTTCTTCTTTAGCTCTAATATCTATTTTTAACTTTGCAAATTCTCTCTGCATTGATACAACAGCCAATCAGTAAAGGTGTTGTTGAATAATTAGAATTAAATCTCTCCTAACAATGACATTTCAATAAAAACAGATTTCTACTTTTCCCTATATGCTACTAAAATGAAGTATTGAAGGTGACATTAACTTACATTGAGTGAGTGTTTCTTCTTCAGTGCAGTCTGCTGTCTGACAAGTTCAATGCAGAAGTCACAGGTCTTTGAACCAAGATGGTCTGTGAGAGGAAGGAGGAGGAACTGGGAGGTGGAGCCAAACATCACTGCTGGTGTTCCAGCAAATAAAATATAATTCACACACACTTGTATTGTACTAAAACCACAACAAAACTCCGGAAAGATACCACAAATTCCATTAATTCACCAGCCAACGATTAAATAAAAGTATTTCAATATAATAAATGGATTTAAATCACCAAGCTGATTGGTGGCCACACAGTAATAAACTCCTCCATCAGAGACATTAAAGCTGTAAAAGTCTCCTTCAGATACTTTGATTGGTGCATCTCTGCTGGTCTTGAAGCAGGTGAAGCGGCTCACAGGAGGTTTGGCTCTTTTCCTTCATTCACAGGATATCTGGCAGAACAGGAAATGTAAATATTGTACTTTTACTGAATGTCAGCAGATTCATCAACATTTCCTCTTTGAACTTCTCACGTGTCTTCGTTTAATAATTACACTACTTCATAATGAAGCAAATATTAGAGAAAAGTCCCAAATATGAACTTGTATCTATGGCAGAACTTTTTCTCCCACCAATCATCTCATGACCATCAGATTCAACAGCATTTTCACTATTTAATGTTGCGCTGATGGTAAATATTCAAAAAAACGGAACCTTTGTAACTTCCCCTTTTTCATGTGTTTAATACAAATGTCATGTACAGGCAGCTTTCTCACAGGATTATTAATAGTGAACAAAGAAATTCATTCATATCCAGGAAGTGTAAACATTTAATTTCCTGGTTGGTGTCTGTAGATACTGTGAAAATAATTATATATATAAATTATTTACACATTAAAAGTAAACTACTTGTTCCCGTTTTCATTTTAAATAATAAAATTCTTTTCCTGGTTTACAGTGCATCCGGAAAATATTCACAGCGCTTCACTTTTTCCACATTGTTATGTTACAGCCTTTTTTCCAAAATGGAATAAATTCATTATTTTCCTCAACATTCTACACACAACAACCCATAATGACAAAGTGAAAACTGTTTTTTGCAAATCTGTTAAAAATAAAGAACAAAAACATAACATGTACAGCCTTTGCTCAATACTTTGTTGAAGCACCTTTGGCAGCAATTACAGCCTCAAGTCTTCTTGGGTATGATTCCAACAAGCGTGGCACACCTATTTCTTGGAAGTTTCTCTCATTCTTCTTTGCAGAACCTCTCAAGTTCCATCAGGTTGGTAGGGGAGCGTCGGTTCACAGCCATTTTCAGATCTCTCCAGAGATGTTCAATCGGGGTCAAGTCAGGGCTCTGGCTGGGCCACTCGAGGACATTCACAGAGTTGTGCCAAAGCCACTCCTTTGTTATCTTGGCTGTGTGCTTCGGGTCGTTGTCCTGTTGGAAGATGAACCATCGCCCCGGTCTGAGGTCCAGAGCGCTTTGGAGCACGTTTGCATCGGGGATGTCTCTGTACATTGCTGCATTCATCTTCCCCTCGATCCTGACTAGTCTCCCAGTTCCTCCCGCTGAAAAACATCCCCACAGCATGATGCTGCCACCACCATGCTTCACTGTAGGGATGGTGTTGGCCAGGTGATGAGCAGTACCTGGTTTCCTCCAGACATGACGCTTGGCATTCAGGCCAAAGAGTTCAATCTTTGTTTCATCAGACCAGAGAATTTTGTTTCTCATGGTCTGAGAGTCCTCCAGGCGGGCTGTCATGTGCTTTTTACTGAGGAGTGGCTTCCGTCTGGCCACTCTACCAAACAGGCCTGATTTGTGGAGTGCTGCAGAGATGGTTGTCCTTCTGGAAGGTTCTCCTCTCTTCATAGAACAACGCTGTAGCTCTGTCAGAGTGACCATCGGGTTCCTGGTCACCTCCCTGACTAGGGCCCTTCTCCCCCGATCGCTCAGTCTGGCTGGGCGGCCGACTCTAGGAAGAGTCCTGGTGGTTCCAAACTTCTTCCATCTCCGGATGATGTAGGCCACTGTGCTCGTTGGGACTTTCAATGCTGCAGAAATCTTTCTGTACCCTTTGCCAGATCTGTGCCTCGATACAATTCTGTCTCGGAGGTCTAAAGATAATTCCATGGACCTCATGGCTTGATTTATGCTCTGATTTGCACTGTCAACTGTGATACCTTATATAGACAGGTGTGTCTTTCTCAATCATGTCCAATCACCTGAATATAGCACAGGTGGACTCCAATCAAGTTGTAGAAACATCTGAAGGATGATCATTGGAAACAGGAGGCACCTGAGCTCAACTTTGAGTGTCATGGCAAAGGCTGTGAATACTTATGTACATGTTATGTTTTCGTTCTTTATTTTTAACAGATTTGGCAAAATTGGCAAAAAAACAGTTTTCACTCTACCATTATGGGTTGTTGTGTGTAGAAAATAATGAATTTAATCCATTTTGGAATAAGGCTGTAACATAACAAAATGTGGAAAAAGTGAAGTGCTGTGGATATTTTCCAGATGCACTGTATGACTTAAACTGTGTGCTTTAAGATCCTCAAATATGAAAACATTTCTCTCCAGGCTTAAAGACATCCTTTAATGATGAACCCTTTTGAGTTGATTTTACTTTGAGTGAGATAGTGTTCATCATCATTATTATTATTTGCCTTTGGACCAGGTGAGCTGATTGTTATGTGTGTTGCATTGCCAAGCAGAATTGTTATACTAATAATGTATTTTTATAAAAGGGCAAGACAGTGGCCTAAAACAATATTTATTTAGTAACAGAAAATACAATTGAAAAGAAACTGATTTTCCACGATCCCTAAATCTGTTTGGTCGTGTATGAACAGTTGTTCAGCAGATCTAATAATTGCACACAACCTCTCATTGTGTTGCTTCCTCCTACGTCACCTGCAGCTCTACGTTCATGTTAATACTCTAGTTGGTGTTGCTAGTTACTTCCCCAAAAGTCTACTTCCCCTTCTTAAATTTGCCCGGTGTTGCTCCCGTCTTCTGCTTCTTCTTTGCGGATCCTTTAAGCTCAAGTTCCTATGAATAAAAGTTTTTAAAAAAAGAATAGAAAAAATAAGTTCAACATCCAGAAGATAACTGATCATGTACAAGACCAACTAGCTGTAAAATACGACTGTGAAGTCCACAACATGGAAAGATTGACTTTGAGAGGAGGTACATACACAGCAAAGTGGGCAAAATGGATCGAATATGTTTTTGTAATTTGTCTGCAAGAGTTGGATCTTCAAAAGTAAAAGTACCACTTTAACCAAGATGGGATCGTATGCATTTAACCCTGGACCAAAGAACCAGAACAACAGAATCAAATTCCTACAATCTGTCACTTGGATGAAATATAAGGTTGACTGAAAACATTGTTGGTGTGTTGCAAGATTGTTGACAAGTGTGTATTTTATTTTATTTTATTTTATATAACGATTTCATGTGTGTTTTCTTCTTCCATGTCACTTGCCAGGTGCATGATTATCTCTTGTTTTTGTTTCTTTTTTTCAAATAAGTAGTTTTTCCTAAAAATACCCTAATAAAAACACACCGTACTATAAAATAATAATATAATTATATATATAATTATATTATTATGAGTGCAAAACACTTGTGTCAAAAGAAAGCAGCAGGCTGAACAGCTCTGAAGCAGATGGAGTCCTCTCATCATATTGAAAACACACAGCTGCTCTGTCGTGGTTCTAAATGTACCTTTCGCTTGGAGGACAGAGATCCAGTGATGGAGAAGAAGGAGTCCAGTCGTCCCTGTGTGCTGCCCTGTCGGCTCTTTACAATCTTCTTACAGCCGTTACGCATCCTGTCCTCACTGTGTGCACATCCCCAAATAAATAAATGAATGCACACAAAATGACATGTGGTCAGGATGCACAACGCTGTTTCCAGCTGAACTTCACATGATTTCTTTCATCAGCAGCAAATACAAGCTTCCAAAAGCAGCATTCAGAAGATGGGAAGTAAGAAAACAACAGTCAGCGTTCACTGTAAAGACTCGATCATAAATACTTGAATGGAAAACCACTTTTCTCAGGTGATGATAGAACGCAGCCTCAATGGGCCAGCAGTGCGGCCTAGTGGTCACACGTTGTCTAACCAGTTGGTCTGGCCGACGACCATCAATGCAGGACACTCAAGAAGCGAGCAGAGGAGGTGAATGGGTCAGAAAAGAGTCGGCTGGCGGTTCACCTGAACTGTTTCTCGTTACACATGAACTGGATCAGACCGTCCTCATCCGGCTCACTCCACTTCAACTCCACCGTGGAACAATCCACCACTTCTGCCTTCAAAAACAGACCCCTGGCCTCTTTATACAGCCAGTCCTCCGGAGCAGGGTGCTTCTGCATGACGGCAAACAATACACAAGACAAATGCAGTCAGAAGCAAACTCTCCCCCCTGTGTGGTTGTCTGGACTTCTGGAATGGACCACGAGTCAACGTACGCTGGAGTCAATGTTTTCAAGGATCTCCTCGATGCAGCCATGTTGTTTGATCAGGTCGATGGCTCTCTTGGGGCCGATTCCCTTGATGGTGCCGCAGTAGTCGCAGCCCAGCAGAATGCACAGGTCTATGAACTGGGAGGGGCCACGGAGAGATGGAGGCGTTATGGCAACGGAGACAGAAATTTCCCTGCGGTACATTTTCAGATTTCACAATTCTAATCACCAGAAGAGTGATGCGACATTCCTGTGAACGCTTTCCAGTTTCTTGACAATTTGCAGCGAACACAAGTACCATGATGAAAGCAGAGCATGTGATCATTTCCCAGGATGAAAAATGACACGGATTGTACAATGTAACAAATTCAGAAAACGATACCTGTTCATTGGTCAGGCCGATGTCCTGCAGGATGCGACTGAAGTGGAACTCTTGGATGGGAAGTTTCCTAAAACAAAGAAACCACAACTGAAATTCCTTATGAGAGACATAGAACAACAACGCCATCTTTTAAGCTCTTCTATACTAGTTACGGTTTCTCTTTAATGTACATGTGAATGCACATTGTATTCTATATAATCATCATTAGGTACAGAATTCGGAGTAATTGACATATTACATCAAACGTTGCACCAGATCCAGAACATTCTCCTTGTATCTCTGCTGCAGAGCTTAACAGTGGAAAGACGAAGTAACGGCATTACTTTGCTTCACTGGCCGTGAGGTGTCGCAGCAGGACGTTGGTCCCAAAGGTCAGCCCGTCCATGTCCTCAGTTGCGGTGGCAAAGACTTTCCCTGATTTAACTAGAGCGGCACAGCTGGCCTCCGCCTCACATGGAGCCTTGTATACAAAGCACATCAAATTACATTTCAAAAGGACGATTCACCCAGACTTCTCCTGTTGCCAATGGTTTCTCTGACATGGGGGGAAAAGGCCGAGCAGCAAGACGCAGTGGATTGATCTAACCTCAATGTAGGGCACTCCCATCAGAGTCAGCAGCTTCTTGCACTCATCATTGTGCTGCTTGGTTACTTTTACCAGACGCTTGCTGAATTTGTCAATGTTCTCTTGTTCTCCTGGGTTAAGACAAAACACACAATCTCTATGATCTCATTACATATTTACAATAAAGAAATACACGTAATGAATATCAAGCAGGATCACATTAGTTCACAGGGTCAGGGCCAAAAACACAGCACAATAAAGCCGGAGTGACACCGACGATTCTGTTGTGTATTTAACTGTACCCAGTTCCTGAGCTTGAGCAAGCATCTTCTCAGCTTCTGCTCTCCTCTCCACTCGCTTCTCCAGCTGACGGTGAGACAAGAAGAGCAATCAGGAGAAGATCACAAACAAGAGACAGATGATGTAGCTTACAGTAAGTTCTGATTTCTATAGGCGGTTAAGAGATAAATGAAAGTCTCTAAAATGTATTAACATGATTAAGATTTAAACATAGTAAAATTGAAAACATTTTTGCTGTTTAATGTGTCAAACAACAAATTACGGGTTGCAATACTCTGATTAAACAACGTAACATTAAACAAAAAACCCACCGTGTAAAAGTTCTGACTCCATTGTTTCATATACAGGGGAAGAATAATAGAGCGAGGTCAGAGCACACTAACCTCTCCTGACTTGAGGTGTGGGGGCTTGCCGTCAAAGACGTACACAGGTTTGATGCCATATTCCAGCATGCGGATCGTCCGGTAGAACATTCCCATCAGGTGGCTGAGAAAAGAGCAAAAACGTGGCCAAAATGTTTCAGCCTTCAGTGCAGCCTCGAGGTACTTCATTTGGAAGTCCCTGCAGTGACGTCACGTTCCGAGTCTTAAAGTGTCTGCATTGCGGGGGGGTCGCACCTCGTCGTCTCGCCATCCTCATTCTGCAGAACGTTACCGTCCTGTCGCACCGCAATCAGGAACTGGTAGATACACATGGAGGCATCTATGGCAATTTTCCTACCTGCGAAAGTTTAGAAAAGCAGCAAATGCAATTATCTTGCATGTTTAAAACAGCAAATGTCATCAGAACAACGGCTTTTAAATTGAATAACTTGATACAATCTAAACTGGTTTCTATGCAAGCCTTAATTCACAATATTTCAAAAAGGCAAGTAAATTAGAGAAGACTTGTTGGTTCACCCATAAGTTCAGCATGACATTTATTTGTTAAATGATGCCCAGTGTGGTCTGAGTGGTCTCAATTATATTTCTTATTTAGGCCTCATGGTCAATATGTAGATAAAGGGACGTGTATTAGTTACCAAAGTAGTTCTTGATGTCTTGCTCTTTGATGGCACCAGGGGCCTGGTCAGCAATGAGCTTAGCAAGTCCATGGATTCCCATTGTGATGAGCTGAAGCTGGAGCAGAGATCAACCGGATCTGAAAAAGAAAGCCCCGTTAGTTGTTCAATAATCAGGATGAGCAGACGATCACTCATTACGTTAATAAACAAGACGCGCGAGAACAACAACGGGTTTAACGGTTCAACTTTGTTTACATTCCTGCTGCTTCGACGGACTCGTGCCGAATTAAAGACCAGCTAGTGGTGACAGATAAACGTAATGTCAATTGTGTTATTCGAGTGTGGGTCTACGGTGAAGGACGAACCACCTACACGGCCGGTTTTGGAGGAGTACTGCGCGTTGCAGCGCACACAACGTGGCAAGTAGGTTAGCTTTGCTGCACAGGGCGGATTAAGTGAAGCTTCTGATAAACTGTTTAAATTTATAACAGCGGAAAGGCAATAATACCGTTGCTATAATGCATTTGTTAAATTTGTTTATGCTATTTAAGTGTGCTGAACTCACCAGTAAGATATAAGGTTCCTGCACTTGTTCCCGGGTCTCGGGCGCGAGGAATTGCGTATCCTTCGCGGGAAACGCAACGGAAGACATCACTTATCAATCGATCGAGTGCAGCATCGTTGAAGACGCTGCGCGGCTGCGCATCGATGGTGCAGATTTGACTACACAGGTCTGGGTTCTTACGCGAAAGTGCTGTTAGGCCTTTCGATTGGTTCAGTGCGGTTGAAGGAAATCCGGTCAATACAGAGCAATAATAGAGTGGTTTATGTTGGGACTCAAACGGTTTTAATTAAGGATTCCGGTTTCTGTTAATGCGTAACTAAATATAAAATAAATATATTATATTATAATAAAAATGGGACACGGGAGGAACATTTCTCGGGCTGCGAACAACCCGTAACGTCGGAGGTGTGTTTTTGTGTCTCCGCCCACTCCGGAAAACTCTGCGGAGACCGTCGTTATTTTTTATTTTCTAAGGTGACGTGGAGTCGGACCTCTCTTCCACACTGTCCCATGTGTCATCGACAGCACCTGCCGTACCCGGACGCGATCGCAATGAATGTATAATACGTCGCTGCATCGAGTCGAGGAGCCTCCGACTGTCCAGCTGTGGCGTTAGATCTTCACACCGAGCTCCGGCGTCGGCGCGCAGCGCAGCGCGGAGGCGGCCGCCGCGGCCTGAAGTGCGAGGAATCCAGCGGACGGACGGGTTTCGTTTGGGATCCGCAGCACTGGGACTGAAAGGGCCACAGCAGCGATACTGGTCGTGCAGCATTTCCCAACTTCTAACTGAAGGCGAAGATACAACAACGTGCCTCTTCAGAAGTAAGCAGAGTGGACGGAGACACTTTGTTCTTTATTTTACTACTTGCTCTTCGCGATGGGAACCAGTCCATTTAGACAGAGGTTAACTCTCTGGATTTTAGGACAACGAGTTTATAAAAGCACCACTGGTTCGTATTAGTGCTTGGTTGTTGTTGTTCTTGTTACTGGTCCAGATAATATTGTTGTGTTGAATCCTGTCTAAAAAACTCCAGAGGGTTCTGAGGGATTATTAAGATTATTGACAGGTGTCTTGAGACTTCCTAACCGAGTCCAGTACCTCTATGTATGCTAAAAACTGGCAGATACAGATATTTCACCAGTAATGCTGATCATATTATTTTTTCATACTTATAAGTGATAGGACCGGCTGTGGTTTGTGAGGTGTAGGACAGAATTTGTAAGGCTTAACTATTGCTTTTAAATGTATATAATGATGGGTCATTAGTTTTGACAAAGTTGGCCTTCTTGCTGCTAATACTGTTCTTTCCTAAAAGAAAAAAGGAGACGACGGCGCTGTAGCTTCATATTCTTCTGCACCATCATTGTTTCCCCTTCTAAATGAGCTGCTACTGAATATTAACGTGCAAGTTTAACTGCGGACAAAATAGGTTTCCAAAATATTTTTTTAAAAGTGTCCTACTCATGGATTCTAAGGACACTGTTGTCGTTTTAAAAAGATAACATCTTTGGCCAGTGGCAGTTTGTGTCTCATACCGACAGATAAAAGCGGACGGCGCACATTTAATTAATCAATTCTATCCCCCCTTCCCTCCCCCCGACTCTTACACCTGATGAAATGCATTGTAACTGGTGGCGGTTACACGGTGTCTCCGTTGTGTCAGAGTGTTCCTCATTTCTCTGCCGTGTGTGGCTAAATGTCGAGAGAGTGATTCTGCATTAAATCCTCCGCTTGTCACATGAACGCTCACCCATCTGGTGCAAGTTGCATGAGCGTGACATCATTTGTTGACTTGAAATAAGAGGCACACCGTGTAAGTCCCAGGTCAGCCAGTCTGGCTTAAACCACACCTGCTGTCCCTCTTGAACTGTCCATCTTTGCAGCACAGGGTCATGCGAGGCGGAAGAGGACGCCGGCCGGCCGGCGGCCAGGGGACGATGGGCCTGCACTGCTTCTTGATCCTGTCGCTGTTCTCGTGCTGGGCGGTGGGCTACAAGCAGGGGGACAACGTGACTCTCTATGTCAACAAAGTCGGCCCTTATCACAACCCCCAGGAGACGTATCACTTCTACACGCTGCCGGTCTGCCGGCCCGAGAAGGTCAGTCTCTGTTCTGCGCCGCTGCTCTGAAATCCGCAACGCCACTGGGGATTATTTTGTCGCGGTAAATGTTGGCGCGTATCGAAGGATAACACGTCGTCCTCAGCATGTCTCGGGAAGCTGCTTTTAACTGAGACATCCTGTGTTTTCATCTGGCTGTACAATATTGGCATTGCCATGAGATTACAAAAAATGATGTCAATGGAATTGCTCAAAGAAGGCGATTCTTCCTGTGCCCATGTGTTTTCTCGTTATCAGGAATAAGCATTGAGAGGGACTTTACTTATTCAACTTTACTGAAGGTCTTTCATTTTACAAAAATCTATTAACCAACTTGAATGAACACAGAATGAAAATGTTGGTAATTTGATTTACAAATGTGTTAAATATATTTCTTTGACATTAATATAGTATAATAACTAATATAATAAAGTACGTCATGTTTTGCTGTTGAGAGGGTTTCCTTTTTTTAATGCCTATTAATAAATGACACAGACTTTGAAGAGAAGTAGTTATTTAAAGGGTGGTTGGTACCAGTCACACCCACGCTTACAACAGCAGTAACTTCTCGCCGTCGTGGGATGTGATGCTTTAACACCAAGCGTGCAGTGATGGGGAGTGATGCCAGCCGGTGGTTTTGTTTACAAATTCCAGCTACACGCGCCGCTCATGCTGTGTGCCGCTTCTTCAGACTCCTATCGACTCATGTTGTAACGCTTCATCTTCAGGTGCACCACAAGTCCCTGAGTCTGGGAGAAGTGTTGGATGGGGACCGGATGGCCGAGTCGTTATATTACATCCGATTCAGAGAGAACGTGGAGAAAAAAACCCTCTGCAAGCTCACACTTTCAGAGAAACAGGTATTTATTTACAAGTTTGAGCTTAGCACTGGTAGTACTACCAGATATTTTGGATTCTGCTTCTCGGCTGTGTGGATTCATAGTTTACAATTCATTAAGTAGTGAAGGCCGTGCTCCTTAAGCGCTCAGAGTGTGATGCTGGATGTCTTGTGTGTGTGTGTGTGTGTGTGTGTGCGCGCGCGCGCGCTTCAGGTGGACGAACTCCGCGAGGCCATCGAGGAGCTGTTCTACTTTGAATTCGTCCTGGAGGACATTCCTATCTGGGGGTTTGTGGGATACATTGAGGAGAGCGGCTTCCTGCCTCACAGCCACAAGGTGAAGCACGTTGTGCTCACGAGGGTCTCGTGTAGTCTGTGTAGTACGTTAGATCACGTGAGACAAACGCAGACAGGAAGACTATTCTCAGGTCTTATCTTCATGCAAAGCTCAACTCCAATCGCTGTTATTCTTTTTATCGCCCCCCCTCCCCTCCTGTCTCTACCTCGTCTTTGGCTCGGTCCCGCCCCTCCTCCTCCCTCACGCCCATCAGGTGGGTCTGTGGACTCACCTCGACTTCAACATCGAGTACAACGGCGACTCGGTGATCTTTGCCAACGTTTCGGTAAAAGACGTCAAACCAGTTCCCCTGGAGGAGGGGGCCGGCGCCGTGGTGGGTGGGGTCGGAGTGGGCGGAGGAGGCCTGACGGTCACCCACACCTACAGCGTGCGCTGGTTCGAGTCCACGCTGCCTCACGCCCGGAGAGCCGAGCGCCTGCGGGACTACTCGTTCTTCCCCAAAACGCTGGAGATCCACTGGCTCTCCATCATCAACTCGCTGGTGCTGGTGGTGCTGCTGCTGGGCTTCGTCATCATCATCCTCATGCGGGTCCTCAAGAATGACTTTGCCAGGTCAGTCAGGGAGATTCATCGAGGTTACAGCCGGGGCGATGTACTGTTTTAACCTGCACTACAAACACATCTCCAGTATCGTTAAGAGGGTTTTTATCTGTTAGTGAATCAACAGAAAGTCAATCTACAGTAAATTTGTCAATTGTTTTTGCCATTTTGCTTTATTGATGACAACGGTCTATTATAAACACATCATAATGGACACAATTGTACTGTCTATTTGTACAATCTGGGATCAGGAAGTAAATACTCACTCAACTTTTTAACAATTTAAACATTTAAAAATGTCGCTCTCTGTTGGGCATGATGCCGGGAATTAAACAAAGTCTGAGAGCCGGTAGTTGTTGTTCCTCATTTCCAGACAGAATACAGTCTTCCCCTCTCGTAATGTACGTCTCTTATTCTGAAAAACAAATTTAGCATTTATTTGAGGACTGTGTGTCTTGTGAGTATTCACCGCAGCCCTTATGGACCTTCAAGCGAACTGCTAAGCTTTCTTCTCCACCTGAGCAGGGCAAACGTTCGGGGTGTCTCCTGCTCGTCAGGCGCATGATGACATCGTTGTTGAACGCGTCTTTCCTTTCGGCCGCAGGTACAACGTGGAGGAAGAGGGCGGCTGCGACGATCTGGACCAGGGAGACAACGGCTGGAAGATCATACACACCGATGTCTTCAGGTTTCCTCCTTACAAAAGCCTGCTGTGTGCAGTGCTGGGAGTGGGAGCTCAGTTCCTGACCCTCGCCACAGGTGAGCATGCGTTCCTCGAACGCAGCTGGAATTAAAACCCACACTGCTGCCAGAGACCTTCATTTCCGTTTGAGATGCTGATCTGATCCCTGAAATGTCTCTTCACTCGAACAGGAATCATCTTCATGGCGCTGCTGGGAATGTTCAATGTGCACCGCCACGGTTCCATCAACTCCACAGCGATCGTGCTGTACGCGCTCACCAGCTGTGTGTCCGGCTACGTGTCCTGCAGCTTCTACACGCAGATCAACGGCCAGCGCTGGGTGTGGAACATCATCCTCACCTCGTCGCTCTTCTCCGGTGAGTTTGGCGCCGGCAAGGCTTTGGGATTGGTGCAAGTATTTCGGTTGCTACATCTTGCAGTGACATAATTAAAGTCTTAACAGTTTTTGTTTCAATGGAAGTGATTTCCAAATTGTATTTTTTAAGGTTTTCACCATTTGTCAATACGAGACTCAATGAGCTTTTTAACGTGGTCCTAGTGTGATTTCTAAAGCCAGCATTCATTTCATCATCTTTAATGGATTCACACTTTGCAGTTGGACTGTTTCCAGGTTCAGAAAGTCTCTTGAGAATATTTAAAATATTCCCCCTGGCACCTTTTAAACGTGGCCTCGTTTAGTCTTTATTAAACAGCATTTAAAACACGGGTCATTTCTAGCGATCACGCTTCATGCCCACAGCTCCCTTGTTCCTGACGTGGAGCGTCGTGAACTCCATCCACTGGTGGAGCGGCTCCACCCAGGCTCTGCCGGCCACCACCGTGCTCCTCATCCTGGGGGCCTGGGTGCTGGTGGGCTTCCCGCTCACGGTCATCGGCGGCATCGTGGGGAAGAACCGAGCCGGCAGCTTCCAGGCGCCGTGTCGCACCCGCAACATCGCCCGGCAGATCCCGACGCAGCCGTGGTACAAACACACGGTGGTGCACATGGCCATCGGCGGCTTCCTGCCGTTCAGGTGAGACGTCTTCATGTGTGGGAAAGAGGGGCGTCGACCAGAGGAGGGGAAAGCATGGGTTTGCATGTGGGATCAACACCAGATAGACAGAGTTTAGCATCAGATCTTTATTCAACAGGGCCTCTGATTATGAATAGTTCTGTTGTACAAATTAGATGTTTAGCAGCAGTTGCCATTTCCCACAGTGAGATTCCATTTTGAGGTCAAGAGTTGAAATGGAGATTTTAGTGTCAAAGAACTGATCCATCATTCATATTTTTAATGCATCTCTGCACTTATTTGTGTTCTGTTCTTTTTATTATTCATGCGCAGAGTGGTTTGGATAATGTGTGAAACTTACTTCATGTAAATATTGATGATGCTATTCTCTCTTGGCTGACAACTAAGCACCCACAATGCCTTTTTATTAGGATTTATCTACCCAATGGGCGAAAAAATGATTCCACCCTCTCGTTCCTCCTCCCTCAGTGCCATCTCAGTGGAGCTGTACTACATCTTTGCCACAGTTTGGGGCAGAGAGTACTACACGCTGTACGGCATCCTGCTGTGCGTCTTCGCCATCCTGCTCTCGGTGGGCGCCTGCATCTCCGTGGCGCTCACCTACTTCCTGCTGTCCGGCGAGGACTACCGCTGGTGGTGGCGGAGCGTCCTGAGCACCGGCTCCACCGGCCTCTTCATCTTCGTCTACTCGGTCTTCTATTACCGGAACCGGTCCTCTATGAGCGGCCTGGTGCAGAGCACGGAGTTCTTCGGTTACTCTCTGCTCACGGCGATGGTCTTCACGCTGATGCTGGGCAGCGTGTCCTTCTGGGCCTCGCTGGCCTTCATCCGCTACATCTACCGGAGCCTGAAGATGGATTAGACGTGGAACGTGCACACGGACACAAATAAGCACTTCCTCAGAGCACACGGGGACAATCCTCATCCTCCTTTCCGTCATACAGAACACACACACAGCTCCGGTGGAGGAGGAGTACAGGGGCCTTTACCTTTATTTGGCAGGATTTAACTACAGCGGTTGTTAGTAATGAGGGATTGTGGTTGGATGGAATTTGTATTTAAGGATTAAATGGGATATTTCGGTACAAAGGGATTGTGTAATTGTGTCCATTAAGGAGTGGCGGGGTGAGACGTCAGCAGTGGATGCAGTCATTGTATAATGTAATTTATCATTCGCTGCTTTAAATCCTACTTAATGGTCCATTGAGGCGTGGCAGGATCTAGCGGCCAGTTGCCCAGAGACCACTGACTCATACAGTAGTTGATTATTTATGCTGTAGTGAAATTATTTACTTGGCTTTAAACTTTCCCCAAACAATTCAGATTGAATACAAGTTCTGCACCGGCCCGGTGAAGCATTAGAGAATGTTGATAGCAATATTGTCATTGTACTCTTAAAATCACCATTGAGTTATTCTAATGTAAATATTATTTTCAATAAAATGCCTTTTAATACAGTATCACACAAACTGGGTAGATTTCCTTGGATTCTTTAATACATGGGTATTCTATAGCACTTGTACAGAGAATTTATCACAAATTGCATTAACCAAAAGGTTTCAAGCTTCTGCATGTGCTGTAGCAGGAATGACCTACATCACAAGTATATATTCTGTATTAAACACTTGACATTTACAGGCAAGAACTTTCCATTAATGAATTAAAAATAGTACGTGAATGGTTTAGATGCCATCCTCAAAAAACACCTCAAACATAAGTTGCAAAACTAACTTGTGTGCCCATCAGATCTGTCTCAGTACTTTGCCTTAAAAAGGGTTCCAAAAAACACAATCCAATGAATGCATCCAGGTTGGACCCATCTTGTATTACCGAGTGCAAAGAATTCACACAAACACACATTAAATACATGCATATAAAAATAGAGCTTCAAAAAAGAAAAAACTACTTTAGAACGGGAGTATAAACAAGACCCAGCCCCGCAAAAAATCACCTCAATTAGTTGCAAACAAACCACTAAAGTAACTTTCACAGAAACGCTTAACAGCTCTGGCCATTGTGTACCATGGACGTGTTTAAAGACCCGTGACTGTTGACCGCCGCCGCGCCTTTGCCTTCTAGGCTCATGTCCTCTCCTGCGTTATTTGCCGTTGTGGCGCTGGCTGGGTGGAACGCGTTGGGGTTGTATTCATAGTGGCCACCGCCGGGGGGCATGGACCAGCAAGCCATCTGGGGCCTGTGGGGCATTGGATTCTGGGACGCGCCGGGGGACCAGGAGGGGTAGCCTGCAGACCCAGCGGCAGAGCCCATAGCAGCCAGATAGAAGGCCATGTTCTGGGGAGCAGTCTTCTTGAAGGCCGTCTCCATCATCTGCAGGTTGTAATTCTCCTTGAGCCGGGGCCGGACCTCTCCTTGATACTAAAAGAAGTGGTAGCTCAAATTAGTGTGAGATTCCTTTAAACCGTTAAAGTTTAGTTAAAGCACTCAAGTGTTTCGCACCTCCTTTAAGGCCGTAATCAGACTACGATTAGGCCTCCATTACGGACGACTTGCTCTATGTCCAAGCTGATGTTTCTCTGTTATCTTTTAACAGGAAATCTGAGCAGGACAATTGCTGGATCATCAGGACATCAGAGCAAATTAGCTACTTACCGGTGTCATGTGCGTGGCGCCGTTGGCGTACATGGCTCCGTGTATGGGGCTGCCTTTGTTGTAGCGCTCAGACACCCAGCTTGTATCTTTCTGGTGCCTCCTAAGCTTCATTCTTCGGTTCTGAAACCACGTCTTGACCTAGAAGATGGGAGATTTCAGATGGTGCGAAAGCGTACACAAAGCGTTGCTGTGGCCCGAATAACATTGTTAAATAACTCACCTGTTTGTAGGTCAGTCCCGTCATTTCTGCCAGGTTCTTCATTTCAGCCGGAGTGAGGTACCTCTGAATGCTGAAGCGCTGGACAAGAGCGCTCATCTGACTCTCGGAGAAGGCCGCCCTCATCTTCCCCTTAGGGGTATTCGCGGTGCTAGTGCATGGCTTCTTTGAGGCACCGGACGGTAAGTGTACAGAGGTTGTGTTGGTGTCCTGGTTCCCACTGGCTGCAAAGGTGCTGGGCTCGTCCACCTGAGAGCCGCTGGCATCGGGGCTCCTGCAGCTTGCCTCGTTGTCCCTTTCCTCGGCCTCGGTCTCAGTCTTCCTCCAGGTGGTGGAGTCAGTCTGGGGGAGACTTCCTTCCCTGCTGCTGCCAGAACTCCATGAATCTAAGCAAGGGGACAAATTGTGGTCAGATTAAGCTGCCGGGTCAACGTGGATCAGGGCTTTAGATACCGGTCTCAATATGCGCGCATGATTGTTGTACGGGAAATGTAATTTAATGTAATATAAAAAACGTTAGGGTACTGCACTACTGTCTACTGTAGTAGATCCCTTTCCACATTCTATCGCGAGATGTCGCCGCTGAGCTCGTCCTAGGCGCAAAGTCCACTCAGTGGCGGGATAAATTTCTAAACGCTTTTCAACTCAAGATGGACCCGGATTCGTCTTCATTCTCAATTCTGGCGGAACTCTGCGGTTTGGGCCGCCATCAGAGTCATGTATGCATCGACGTTTTAAATTTTATACTATTTGATCAAAATAACGCCAGAGAGGTCAGCTGAACCACTCTGCCAACATCTCGCTAACGTTAGCTAGCGTGATCCGCCGAAAATACGTACTCGGTGACGCGTGGGCCTCGGAGTCACTGGTCGAATCGCTTCCGGCCTGGCTGGCGTCGTGTGTCCGCGGCAGACGGCCCGCCTGGGGGTCGCCGAGATAAACCCCGGTCGCTTGGTAGTGACCGTGGCCGTTCACGGCTTGCTGCTCCGGACTGTGGGGCGGCGATTCCTCGCGGGTCCTCGGGGCTGCGGCGGCGGCGTAGTAGGCCTGCGTCACTCCGGCGTTGTAGTTGCTCCAGTCCGTGACCCCGGCTTCGCCCCAGCCGCCCGGGTTGCCGTGGTTCGGCTCCGGGCCGGATTGATAGACGAGGCCGTACGCGTAGGCGTGGTACGACGGGTTGTAGTTGTAACTTATCTGCGCCTTCCAGTCCGCCATCTCTCCGTGCGCAGCGATGGAAACTATTTTTAAAAACGTCCGTAAAAAAACAAAAACACAATATTTTTAAAATTACGAGGAGCAAAGTGGCAGCTGCAGATTCGGAACCGCCCACGTTAAACAAACTCACAGACTAACTTCAAATGTCGCGCGCAGCCTCCCGGGGGCCGTTTATAAGGAGGCTCGTGGGTGGAGGCGGGAGGGCGGAGGAGGGTGTTTTGATCGCGTGAGCCAATCTCTTTAATCGCAGTGAAATGGGCGGCAGGAGTGACGCGTCATTGGCCATCCAGGTAGGTTGGGCGCTTTCTGCAGGAGACGACTTTTTAATCTCCACTGATAATAAACGTGTTAAGATTAGAGATGAACATCTAGAATCACTTAGACCAGTCAAAGTAAATGTTTGTGGATTGATTTGACCTTGCATGAGAATTATTCTGTGGTGATATTTTAAATGTAATGCCTGCAACTACTCAGGCAGAGTATAAACCTGCATGGTAATTCATCTAACTGATCCTGAGAGCCCGTGTTAGAGGCGGATTGTGTGTCTAAATATCTGTTTGAAGACCTTCACTGTTTCAACTGATAAGTGCTCACATTGTGTATGATGCTAAATTCTTATTTATGACTTGTGTCTAAATCAAATTCTATCGAATCAGAATCAGAAACATTCATCACAAGTATGTTGGAAATACAAGGAAATTGTCATGGTGGGTTAGTGCCTAACAAAAGATAATAATTTACAATTAAATGAACAATAAAATCTAAAAGAAAATGTAAATACAAAAAAGATGCACAAGCAAACAGATAACAATACTCTACACACGTGTATTGTGTACCGGACCAGATGTGTTTTAAATAGAGTCAGTCAGCCGGGACGCGGCTCTGTTGATGAGACCGGCAGGAATAAACAGTTTGTGTGGCGTGAGGTCTTGTTCCTCATGGACCTCAGCCTCCCGGCGGATGGAAGGGACACACACAGTTGTGTAATCTAGTATTTGCGTGTCTCTTGACTACACTTTGTAACCTCAGGCCGTTCCTCTTGGCGATGTTTGTCTTTGTTTAAGGAGCACAACTTGGCTCAGAAGCAACTTTTACATCCCTCTTTCACCCCAATAAGGACAAAGCAGGATTGTAGGTCACTGGTGTTGCAGTTAAGGAAAATATTATATTTTTCATGGAATATTGGGCGTTTCAAATACAAGCTCCCCGGTCTAGATGAATAGATTGTGCAGTAAAATGTCTTTTAGCACAATGGTTTTGTACCAGGCAGTATTACAAAACTTATCAAAGTACTGCAGTACTTTCCCCATCTGCTTATGATGCTTTCAAAGACATGGACATGATCGGACTGCATAGTCAGCATTAATCATGTTTTCATGAGTATCAGTCCCAGATCAATAGACTGAATACGGGAAGTATCTCTGTCTCAAGCATGAATCATTCATTGATAACTAATATTTTTTACTCAGCAAGATAGTTAAAATGGAGAAAAGCAAAAAGAAAACTCAAGACACTGGAGCCACGGAATAAAAGCTTTTAAACATAATATGTATGTTGAAAGCGCTGTTGACAGTTTAGTGTCTGAGGTGTAGTAAATAAAATCTCACGATTTTCAGAGATTTATTTTCATTTCCACGTTTCGAACGTACGCGTTCAAAGACAAAGCCTCTGGCTTCAAATCCCAACAGCCTCCCCCCCTCAATCGGTACAACAGGTTGGACATGTTGATGTGAACTGCTTTAAACTGCATTTGCAATCCTATTCACAAAGATGAAGCAGGTTAGAGGCGCGTTCCCGTCCAGGTGGTTGTTTGTGCGCCCCCCTCCCGGGCTGCATTGACGCGCTGATCACTCAGTTAGTGATGAATTGATGTGTGAATAGTGAGCCTAATTGCAAATTAGCATTTCTCCTGATCTGTGCCTGCAGGGTGTGTTCATCAGTGCACGGACGCATGGGGGGGTGCTGGTGGTGCTGGTGTAGGCGTGTCTGGGGGGGTGAATGGAGCATCGGTATGTGGGAGAGATTGGCCTTTGATGACCGGCCATTACTGGACTGTATTTCGCATGCGTATTCTTGAGCGGCTACAGTGAAAAAAAAGGTGTACAAAGCAGATTGTAGAAACATTTCAGCGCCATCATGTTACTTATGGTTTGCTTGCAAATCTTTGGTTTTGCTATGACATAAACCTCTGTATATTTTCTTTCCCTCCTGTAATTAAACTGTAACAGTGACAACAGGCCACCCGGCCGGCAGGCGTCATATCTTCTAAACTATAGCTGGATTTGACCTCATGTGGTCCCAAAGTCACATGATTATTCCCTCAGTGTCCCTTGCTTGTATCGTATAGATTAGTCGCTGACCGTGTGTGTTCAGCAGCTGCGTGGGTGTTACGGGCGTGAAGTGCGAGACCACCAGTATTTCTTTTGTTGTCTGAAATGTGTGCAAATGATCTCTTAAGTGACCACCTTCTCACAACTGTGACCCCTAAGCTCCTTTCATGAAACCATCTCAGTAGTTTAATCAGTCATTGTACTGTGTGTGCTTTGATATTTCAGTGGTGGAAAATGAACTCATCAGTAACTAAGCCACTTACTTACTAAAGCAAAATACTTGATTACAACAAAAAAGCCCTGCACTTTAAAAAAAATACTTCCATCCACAGGGTAGGAGAGTTGTGATCAAATAGTTTATATGCTTCTGATCATTACAGTCTTACTACTCTATTTGGAGTATATTGGGTCAAGTATTGAAATTCAAGATGACAACGTATAAGCTGATTTTCAATTTTATGCATAAACACGTAACATATATACGATTGGATTTTTTTTACAGATGGAAAAACAATGAAAAGAGTTTCCCTCATATGCCAACAAAGTAGCCTGCTATCTAGCAGTGCACAGCTTCAGTTTATTATGGGGGTGGAGGGGAGGCACAAAGACGGAGAGGAATCATTGTGTTCATGTGTTTATTTCAATGACAGCAGTCAATATAACAACTGAACAGTTATTTGAACTAAAGACGGAACACGTCTTTTATCAGAAAAGTGTTGCAGCTCCTGTCACCGCAGTGTGTCTTCCTGGGCTTCTGGGAGAACGTTTCCATTTGTCTCTTCATGTGTGAATTCAGGGACGTCTGGCCCATTTACCGAGATCCGCATTGATCAAAAACACACACGTCGTTGTCTGCTTCTCAGGTGGTCAACCTGGCACATTTGTCTCTTTGTCCGCTGGTGGGAGTGTGCTTGTGTGCGCTCTCATGCCTGTGTGTGTATGTGTGTGTGTCTGCGATACAGAGAGAGAATAGAATAGAATAATTGTAAACGTGTGACCACGTGGAGACATAAGTTAATTTAATGGCAGCGGAAACACTAACCGGGGGGCCAACATCCTCCACAATGACAATCTCTATGAAGGTATTTATAGCAGGACTGAGTCGATATCACCATACGGTGCCTTTGCGTCCTCGTCACAATCACTCAGTCATCATGAAAATGTAGCAGAATAATGAAACTCTGAGGTCTTATTATAAATGACCAAACATTTGCACACATATCAGTACAATCATTAGTCTCTTGAAATGTCTTTCCTTTGTTTTATACCGTTGCTTTGTGCGTGATTTTGGCACGCTGCTCTGCTTACTACAGTATGTGTAATAAGTGGTTAAATGAAACTAAATTAAAAAAAAAGATATAGTTTTATTGTCCACAACAAGTTATTTGATTAAATGAGTCATTTTGATCATGTATATTCTATTTTCATAATCATATTGAACATTTTACATGTGAAATTGCCGTCCACCCTGTCGTTATGGGGTAAACTGCCCCTTTAAGACACCCGTGATGTCTTCAGTGACATTATTACCATCATTTTGTCTTCCTTCAATGAAGGCTGAAACAGTGGCTTGTTGCAGAGTAAGTATTAACACTTATATTTCTTAATTTTCATCATATTATGTGTGTAATCAGATGTTGTCAAGCTTAACATGTCCACTCTGTCATAGTGAAATATCAGTTAATATAAAAACTTTTCAGAATTTTGAAATATATTTGTGAAACAGTACACTGTCACCTTGCTAAGTGAATCATATTGCTTACTGAAGGTCCAACATGTGCTCATTAAATGCTAAAATTAGCCAAAAATGTCCACCCTGTCATTGTCCACCCTGTCAGCAAGTCTCCTATGACAGGGAGGACACGCGCATAGTTTATGCCACATGCTGATAATTGTGTATAATAGCTGTTGTATATTACAACACGTTAACAGCCAATTAAAGAGTGTAAGGGAACATTTTGAATTGTCCTTCAGAAAGGAATGAGCTCAAAAGGAGCTGAGATAGCGAGGAGATATCGGGAAGGTCGTGATGCTGACCGGGATAGAAGAAGAAATTACCTTTAGAAAGAGAGAGGGACAAATGGAATAAAGACAGAGAGATTGGGGATATTAAGGGTGTCAGTGAGAGAGAGAAGAGGGCAAAAAGAAAGGAATGGATAGAGGGAAAAAGGCAAGCGAGAGCCAGAAACAGGGACATTGCTGCACCTCCCCTCAGCCAGGGCCCTGCAGGTTAGATCATTGGAAGTTTAGCTGATGACTTATTAGAAATTTTAGATTTATTTGAAGGACAATTATCAACTGTTTATGTCCCCATAAAATTACATATCGATAACTATAATTTGCTAAAATCATACTGAAAATCCTTACAAATATTTTGTGTTTTAGGCAACGGCGTCAAGGGGAAAGCATTCAAAAGAGTTTGCCTATAGGAGGCGCAGCTCGCAAAATAGAAAACCAAATCTGAGAAATACAAGATGAGGTCCAGATCACCACGTGCAAAAGTCAGTTTGTTATTGGGACGTCAAAAAGTGAATTCACTCATCAAAAGAGCTTTTCCATATGTCCCCGATTAAAGACAGATCAAAACCTGTCCGTCTGTTGGTAATTTTCCCCTACATGGGAAAAGGACCTGTGACATTCTTTATAGAGAATTAAATAGTTTGCAATAATTTCATTATTATCAAAATACTTTTCCCATTAAATAAAAATATACCGTTGAGCAGGGGACCCAATAACATTCTGAAAATGTACATTTTATAATCACTATGTATTTACAATGTACTTACTCTACTTTGAATTTGCCGTTTGCATGTTCTTTGTCTGCTTGCAGTTAATTTATACAAAGTGTAATGCAGTAACATGCATTTCTAACAGCATCAGATCTACTTTATAAAATAAATATGAAGTTCGATGGAAAATCTCAGCTTTCTTTTTGGAAATGGGCAAGTCTCAAAGGCACCTTATGGTGATATTGACCCGACTACTTTAGTTACCATCTGGCGATGTGTTACAAACTGGCGACAAACTGTGAAGTTGGTGGAGTAGAAACATAAATGAAGCGTACAAAACTCTTACAAGCTCCGTAAATGTGTGTAATTGCCGCCGAATCGCGTCTCGCAGCGCGCCCTCCTCTCCAGCAGGGGGCGCTGCCTTTAACCACGCGCGACGCACGGCCACCGGCGGCTGGTCCCTTTAACTCCGCTCACGTGGGGCTCCCGGCTGGCTCGGCACCGCGTTCCTGCTACTCGAATCCCCCTCGCGGACCACGAAGCCGTTGCACCCGCCACGCGGCTCGACAACTTCACGCCGGTTAAACAAACGGGTTAACGGAAAGTTCCAGCGGCGAGCTGTCGAGATGGCGGAGGAACTTGAGAAGATTCTCTCGCAGCTGACTGAACCGGACAATGCTGTCATTCAGCAGGTGACGACGCACGCATACGACTCGTTTGGATTTAGCGTTACGGTTAAACGATTAAATGCTAAATAAAGCCGGACGACCAGTTCGATAACTGACGTTAACGGTTTACCAACGGTCACCAAGTCATGCTAGCTGTCCCAGCGCAGCAACGGTTAAACAAACGTTAGCTAACGTTAACTGTCAAACCGTTCATGACATTCTGAACCCCCGCCGTCGTCCAACGTGGTGGAACTTAACTCAAGTTTGTTACTACTTATGTCTTACTACGTTACTCAAGCACGTTGGTTGAGTTTAATCTTACTCATCAAAGGGAAGCTAAGGACCGCGCTTGAGGCTAACCAGGCTGCATGTTGTACAGCGTATTGGTGCCCTGTGATAACGTCACAGCTATTTGTGGCAGCCGTTCTCAGTCTGACCTCTTTTGTTCCCCATTTTTAGGCCACTGCCCAGCTGAAAAAGGCTTTCAAAGACCCAGCCATTATACCGGCCCTGTGTGCTGTCATGAGTGGCAGCCAAAACCCCCAGGTATTGTCTCTGGGGGCAGAGCAGCCAGAGAATGCTGTTTTTATCCAGTGGGATTAGCATCATTTCCAGGATGACTGCATGTGAAATGCACAGAGGGGTTGTTATATTTTCCTCATGTGACCCCTTAGATTCGTCAGTCAGCGGCTGTGATGCTGAGGTTGAGAGTGAAGAAACACTGGAAGAAGATTTCCCCTGAAGATAGAGAGAGGTTTGCTCCCTTTTATTGTCATTAAAAGATGCTCTATCCTTGCCATAGTTATATTTGAGTAGAGCTGTAATTGTGATGTTTGTTTTCCTTCATGCAGCTTAAAGGCTGTCGTGCTGCAGGTCTTCATGCAGGAAACCGAGTAAGCTAAACAGTTACTACAATGATATTGTTACATGTCTGACGTGGCCTAGATTTCATGACTTTAAAGTGACACTGACACAGATGGGCGTTTTTTTTGCCATGCACGTGTGAAATATAACGTATGAATGAGCCTAAACTCTATGCGTATGCCCGTCTATATGCAGGCACACAGTGCAGCACTCGCTCTCCCAACTGTGCGCAGTGATGGTTAAACATGAGACACCGGACCGTTGGCCCGCCCTTCTGCAACTACTCAATCAAGCCACCAAGAGCAGCAACCCTCGTGACAGACAGGTACGGGACTCTCGGTTCCACCTATTGATATCATTTTATGTGATATCATCTAGTAACCTTTATATAATGGTCTGGTTTCCCAACAGGTTGGCCTCCTGCTGCTGAATAAGGTGATGGACGCCAATCCGGAGCCTTTTAAGCCTCACTACTGCCAGCTGCTACAGCTGTTTAGTACTGTGCTCCAGGACCACAACAACCCAACGGCCCTGTACTACTGCATCCTCACCCTCACATCTATTACTGCATACACTGGAAAAGAAGAGAGTGTGAGCCATCGTGACAGTGTTAACTTGTTTACAGGTTTTCAACTAGTATACTGACAATTAAACCGTTACAGATGTGATATATTTATAAACTTTTTGATGTCTAAGTGACATTTTGCTGCTCTACAGAACCAGATGCGCGCTATCATCCCAAGTCTGATTGTCGCTCTACAGCACCTCATCAAGGCCGATCAGGTAAATTGGAATACATTTAACAAATAGTGTAATTAAGTGTATTTAAGGGAAGGGATTAATATGACGTGTGAAATGATTGGATTTGTCTGTCTGCACAGCGCCAAGCTGGCGAGGCCATGGAGGTGTTAAATGAGCTCATGGATACTGAGATGTCCATCATTGTCCCTCATGCTGCTGCCATTGTCCGCTTCTGCTTGGAGGTGAGAACTTAATGTCTGAATTCTGTCTTTCCTCTCCACTGTTTTGCTATGAATTTGATTAAAATGTTCAAAACAAACAAAAAATATTCATGAAAGTGCTGAGATTTAAAGTAACTTTTATATCATTGCCTGTGTCAGGTGGGTAGTGACGCCACGCTGAGTGACTCTCTGCGGGTGAAAGCGCTTTCTTGTATTGCCTTCCTTATCAAGTTGAAGAGCAAGGTAATCCACCAACCAACCATCAGTTCATGTAATAAATGTAGAGTCCGAGCTTAACCACAAAAAAGTGCTCGCCTCAGTTCGATGATGTTGAAATCGAATATTCAGCATTTTCAATATTGTGTAGACGGTGCTGAAGCAGAAGCTGCTGAACCCCATCCTGCAGTCCATCTTCCCTGTGCTAAATGCTGCTCCTCGCCCTGGTGAGCAAGACCCAGAGGATGCAGAGGATGACAGCGGAGATGGCACCGATAATGACAATCCCAAACACTGTGCTGCTCAGGTTGGGAGAAGTTCTGTTCGTATGCAATACCTCGTGTTGTGTAATAAAATGCACTTTGCAACAGCTATAGTAGATAAACGCCAGAGTTGCAAGAAAAATAGAAGTTAATAAATTGTTTTTGTTGTTCCAGATTATTGACACGATGGCCCTCCATATGCCCCCAGAAAAACTATTTGAACAACTGGTAAGTCGGTGTAAACAATTACCGATATATAACGTGAAGGGTAGTTTTTTTTTATCAATGCTGCACTGTGCATTTAAATAACAATGTATCACATATGAGCCTTTGACTCAGGTCACTGCTTCTTAACGATGTATTTTGCGGTGTCTTGTGTTTGAAGATGCCCCTCACCCTGACCTCCCTTGCCAGTGAAAACCCCTATGAGAGGAAAGGGGGTCTCATGTGTCTCGCTGTGCTAGCTGAGGGCTGTGCGGACCACATACGCACCAAGTATGGCTTTCTTCTGAAAAGTTCCCATATATATATATATATATATATATATATATATGATTTCTGTTTGCAGACAAATGACAATTCCTAAAATTTGAGTGTCTTCCTACTTTTGTGTGTATCTGTTAGGATGCTGTCATCAGTACTGCAGACAGTGTGCCAGAGTCTTTCTGACAGTAACCAGGTGGTGCGCAGCGCCGGCCTTTTTGCCCTGGGACAGTTCTCTGAACACTTACAGGTGACTAAACACCGCAATGTTACATTCATTTTTATTGTTGTGTTTATATTACATTTCCCAGTTTGAACTTGTGGGAATGTGTATATGTATAGAAAAGCGTTTTAGTATTTTAGATTTCTTTTTTCCACCTATTGTTTCCAGCCTGAAGTGAGCCAGTACTGTTCTGAGTTGATGCCTTTGCTGCTGGGCTACCTTTCATCCTTGAACCAGGCAAAGGTCGGCCATGTCACTAAGGCCTTTTATGCACTAGAGAACTTCATGGAGAACCTTGGTAAGCTGAAAAAAGGTTTTTTGCAATGACACGATCATATAGAAGTGTATACACACCGTATGTATGACTCATACATACATTAACTTACCTGACATAATAAAAATAAAAAAATACATAAAATTATCCAAACTTGTGTTTAAAAGTGGTATTAAAAAGGTTCCACTAAATGCTTCAATAACGGGTCTTCATGCTTTCTCTCCTCTTTTTTTCCCCCCCTAACAGGAGCAGATATTGAGCCCTACCTGCCCACCCTGATGGACACCATGTTGTCTGCTCTCAACAACGCTGAAAACTTAAAGATAAAAGAACTTGCTGTGTCTGCTATTGGTGCCATAGGTAAGAATCGGTCCGTTAGATCCATTAGATTGATATGTAAACGCACGATTAAGCCAAACAATACAATTGATTTCTTGATGAAGTAAAAAAAGATCCCACTTGGATCAGAGTGTAGTTGAAGTAACCCATGTCTCATTGTAAAATCTCTTCGTCTTTTCAGCCAATGCTGCCCATCAGCTGTTGGTCCCCTACTTCCTTCCAGTTATTGAAAGTCTTAAGGGCTTCCTTACTGCCACCACAGAGGAAATGAGGTCTCTGCAAACTCAGTCCCTGGGTAGGTAAAACACTGATGTTTTCACTTCATGATGTCTGTATATTCAGAACATTTTTTTTTTTTTTTTTTACCACTATCCCTATCTTGTTTATACAAACATCACGCTTGCAAAATTTGCATCTCACTCCACAGAGCACTGAACAGCATGAATGAACGATTGTTGATCCTCTTGTGCTGTTGCTGTAAGGTACTCTGGGCGCGCTGGCACGTGCCGTCGGCAACGATGTCTTCGGTCCTCTCGCTGCCGAGTGTGTTCAGCTGGGCCTCAACCTCACCGACACCATCGATGACCCTGACTTGAGACGCTGCACGTATGTAACTCAGTGTGTGTGTAAATGTTTCGGAGTATCTTCTCGATACTTTTTTCGTCCATTCAATATAAATGTCCACACTAATAGTGTTGGTTTTGCTTCTTTATTCCTGATTCCATAGTCTTGTCTAACATTTGTAGCTGCAGTTCACCTCTGAGCCACACGAGGGAGAATGAATCTGTAATGTTGGTTTTTAAACTACATGCTTTCTTGGTCTCATTCATAACATATATTTAAAATGTGTGTATTTTTCAATAACATGAGTCCCCAGAGAAAAAAAATGTGAACGAGTATATTGCTGTACAGACTAATATACAAATATTTTTCATGATTCAAAGACCGAAGAAAATGTTATTGAAATGGCATAAATCCTGTATCCTTAACTTGTGCGCGTGTGTCTCCCCACCATCAGGTACAGTCTGTACTCTGCTGTGTCCACAGTCAGCCCGGACTGCCTCACTCCTCACCTCACTGCCATTACAACAGTCATGCTGCTCGCTCTCAAGTCCAGCGAGGGCATTACGGTATAAAGCACATATACCACCCTGAAGCATGTGGGCTAATCACAAAATACATAATCACAAAGCATTCCCCGTATTGTCCTCCCTTTAGCCACACGTTGAGGAGGACAAGACCTTTGTCCTGCTGGACGACGATGACGACGACGATGACAACCCCGACAACGAGCAATTTCTGGAGGATGAGCCTGCGACGGATATCCACGACGCTTCGGGGTTAGGGGCCACACACAAACGCGTGTATACAGGTGCATGTATATTTACTACACGTGAGCAAAAGCCTGATGTGCCTTCGTCTTGTCATCTGTCCATTTTCAGATATATTGTAGAAAACTCCTACATCGACGAGAAGGAGGATGCCTGTGATGCACTGGGAGAGATTGCCTTAAGCACCGGGTAACACAAGTTCTACAAGGCATTCTTAAAAACCTTGTTTATTTAACTGAATTATACGTGCACAGTTATCTAGGAAGTACAGTTTGTTCCTATCTATTTTGAGAAGTACGTTCTCCAAGAGCTTGATGCAGGTTTGTTGTGTGTGCATTTTTCATTTTGTGTTGTCGTTTTCCTGGACAGTGTTGCCTTCCAGCCCTTCCTGGAGTCTAGCTTCCAGCAGGTCTACAAGTTGAGAGATGTAAGTATCTCAGTCATCCTTCTCTGTGCAATGTGAATGAAGGACACTTTGAGAGTTGTGTATGTGTGTAGCATGATTGTGATCTGAATATGGAACTGTTTTACAACACTTCTGAATGGCAGGTGCCTGTTCTCTCTTCTCACCCTGAAAGTCTCTCATTCTGTGTGTGTGCGTTCCTTCCATCCGGCCATAGTTTCCCCATGAGGACGTCCGCACAGCAGCATTTGGAGCCATGGGTCAGTTCTGTCAAGCTCAGCATAAAGTCTGGCAGGAGAGTCCCACTGAGGCCAACCACCAAGGTACCGGAAATCTGTTACCTTCAGCATGCAACAAATTGTTTGATTATGCACCTTTGCCATTATTTAGGTAGAAGCCGACTGACTGACTGACTTGTACATCTTGTGTCCCTCCCCAGTCTTGCAAAAATTGCTGGATGTGGTGCTTCCTTGCTTCGTGGAAGCCGTGCGGATGGAGAACGAGCGCCAGGTTGTGATGGGCGTCCTGGAGACAATGAACAATGTCATGAAGTCTTGCAAGGAGGAGGTTTTCAAAGACCCTTCTCGCCTTAAGGAGATCAGCAATGTCATCCGCGATGTGCTCAAGCAAGCGGTGAGAAGGGTCGATGATGATGATGGGGGAGATGGCTTTATTTGGTCAACGTTACATAACCAAAAAATAACTTTATAGTCATGATGGACATCGTGTTAACGTTCATTATTTTTTTTCATCCCCAGACTGCCTGTCAGGGCGATGATAGTGATGAAACTGAGGATGAAGAGCAACAGGTTGGCTGGCCTTTCTGCACATTAGTCATAGTTATGAAAGTAAAAGTGCATATACACATATTCGCACGTCCAAATTCTTTGTATATAATTACGAATATTAACAACTTTATTCCCATTAATGGAACAGCATCAATTCTTCCTGCCACCCTTTGATAATGTAAACCCCCTCAAATTGAAATTAAATTGTTTCTATTTACTGAGACGTAAATATAGAATCTATACATATAGATTCCCACAATACTACGTTAAAAAAAACAAAAGAAACAGCTGTGCATTTGCTGAGTGTGCTTTTTGTTGACGTGCTCCCTGACCAGGCCGAGTACGATGCCATGCTGCAGGAGTATGCTGGAGAAGGAATTCCCCTCGTGGCCGCCTGTGTGCCTGCAGACAGCTTTGCCCCTTTCCTCAACGACGTGCTGCCTGTCCTCCTGAGCAAAGCTGTGAGTTTGGACCCAATGACAAGTACTATGGTTCAACAGAAGCATTATTTGCTCCAAATGGTCACAACATGAAGACTTGGTTTAAATCAGTTCATGGGGCCCCTTTGACCCTGTAGAGACACCGTGCAATCCCACTAGGTATTGATTCATGGCACTAAATGATCTTCTCCCTCCAAAGAAATCCTCGTGCACGGTGGCCGACAGGTCCTTTTCCGTGGGTACGATCGGAGAGATCCTGCAGGCTCTTGTGAGCGTGTCCGGGGGCCAGAGAGTGGCGAGCAAACTGTCCAAGCGGCTGCTTCCTGTGCTGGTAGCCGGAGTGAGAGACAGCGATTCTGAGGTTCGCAACAACAGCGTCTTCGGACTGGGGTGTCTGGCCCAGGCCACCGGACCCATTTGCGTGTCGTATCCTTCTTACTTGCGTCCGAGTGTTTCGCTGAGTGTGCACGTTGGTCGTCTTTCATCCTTTCATCGGGTCAAACGCCAATAAATGAGTTCCTTAGCAAAGCGCGCTCCAGGGACTATCCCATGATGCTCTCCGTGTTTTCCAACATGCTGACCAGAGAGTCCAACCTCCGGGTGATTGACAACCTGTGTGCCGCCCTCTGCAGGATGATCATGACCAACGTGGAGGCCATTCCTCTTGAGCAGGTACGGCTGCGGCTCGCAGCGCCTCCCGGCGAGTCGTTCCAGCCACCGCGAGCGAACTCTGCCGACGACACAAATTAATGGCGAACTCTCTCTGACAGGTCCTTCCCGCTCTGGTGGCTCATCTGCCCCTCAAAGAGGACTTGGAGGAGAACAAGACTGTGTTCAGCTGCCTGGCCATGCTCTACACACACAGGCCGGATATGGTACTACACACATATACACACACACACAGACACAGACACACAGACAATGGCCACCTGGTATCACATCCGTCTCCACGGGGCGTCCTCGCTGCTAACAATTCAGATGCACATTGTTGGTGCTGGAGCAGCTTTTTAGAGGTTTGAAATGACAACATGTGTTATATAAACCGCAAACAGGCAAATCTTTGTTGCATGTTTTTATAAAGTATTATTGCATCACAATATTCAGGCATACAGCATATTTCAACTCAGACATTTAGATGACAGTGGAGGGGCAACGTTTAATAAAGAGCAATCACTTCTAACAAACATCTAATGTATCCACGACGCTCCGGACGATGTGTGTTTTCTAATAAGTCTTTTTGTTGCCCTCAGGTTGTGAACCTGATGAAGCCCATTGTTGCGGCTTCCAGTCACGTCCTCGGCTCAAAGGATGTCGATAAAGGTGAAAATCCCTCTGCGACCGGGCTCCATTTACCGCGCCTTGTTTTCTTCAATTGCGTCGATGTTTTGCCGCCATCCTTAAACCCATTATTATACCTCTCCTCCACAGAGACGGAGCACATTTTGGTCGTGCTGATGAAAGAATTTGCCCTGCAACACTCCGCAGACTTCCAAGCAGCTGTGACCTCACTTCCTGTAGAGCAGCAGGCCAAACTCGGCGCGGCCGTGTCCACCTCATAGCCCACACACATCCTTCCACTCTGTGTGAAACCAGCTAAAACAATACATTTTTATACGTAGGTGGAAAAAGGGATGGGCATTTTCAACATCTCTCAAAACGGTTTGAATACAGCACTTCATCAATCTTATAGTTATTAAATTTGAGTAATTCTTCTGAGTTTTCACTTTTAATTTATTGCTTGTTCTATGCTAAAGTTTTATTGTTTCAAACAGTTGGTTTACCGCCCTGTGTTCGCGTTGTTTGGTACCTTCTGTAAAGCTGGTATTCATTTCTCCTTTCTGCCCCTGTTTGGAAAAGCTTCTGACTTTGCTGTGTGTGTTTTAAAAGCAATGATCAGCTGTGCTCGAGGCTGAATGCAGCAGTAACCATATCTGCACTATTAAAAGAAACAAGCAAAAAAAGCTATGCCACTATAACCCAAAACACATATTTGACAAGTGTCAGACGTTTTTACAAAGGTTACCAAATTGAATGTGATGTTGGCAAGTTCTGCCGTGCGGTCAATGAAAGAAACTAAGGACACTGAATCCTCTCAATAAATGCAGACTTGAGTCCTGGAATTGATTTAAGAATGTGCTTCGGGGTGGACGCGTGTGTGTTCTGCTCGGTAATTCACGCGTTCTGCTCCAGATGTTACGGATGTGGCTCGTCAGATGTCCGGTGTTGCTGTGGGCTGCTGGTTTTCCGTGTCCAGGGCCATGGTCCTCTGGCCCGGCTCCCCTGAGGACACACAGGGCAATTCGTTTTTTAAGCGCACACGTCACTTCAACCACACATACTTCCGTCTGTGAAAATGCTCAAAGCGATTAATGGCACATATTCAGCCAATAACAGCCTAGTAAATGAACAAACCGCACGACAAGATGTTATCAGTTTCTCTTTATCTGCAGGCTGCATGCTAAGCTTACCCCGTCCCCTAGCAACCAGCCTTCACTACAAAGTATTTGTTAGTTTTCACAGTTCCCCACAGCATGTAGGTGCAAAATGTCCTCTGGACTCTGGTGTAATGTTTACCGTGATCTCATTTCAGTCTCTGTGGTCACTCTGTTCATCCGTCATCTCACAGCTCAGAGAACCCCCAAGTATTTATTCCTACTCTCTGTTTGGAAAAGCTTCTGACTTTGCTATGTGTGTTTGAAGCAATGATCCCCCAATGAAAACGCACACGCAGAAGTTAATCAATTGTAAGTGGAACTCGTCCGAAACCCCCTCGCAGCTGACTTTAACGGCCTCAAAAGGATGCAGCAAACCCCCCATGCGTGTTATCACAGTTTGATATTGTAGAAGTACTTCGGGACGGACCTGCGCACGTGTGCTTCCAGGGCAAGATGTTCATCCCCGTGCGGCAGAAGGAGCGGTCGGTGTGCGCCTCGGTGCTGTACAGCACCTCCTGCAGCGCCTGGTCTCCGGGCTTCTGGGCTTTCACCCTCACCTACAGGAGGAGAAACCAAGCGGGCGTTACTCTTCCGCGCGGACGCACCGCGCTGCCGCTGGTCCGACACGCACCTCCAGGACGGTGATCTCCTTCTCCTTCAGCTTCCCCGCTTTGCTCTTAACCTGGGTCTTCTTGGTGTCCACCCACACCACCCGCTCCTTCACGTCTGACCTAGACACACGCGTGTTATTAAACGTGCACTTGCTTTCTAAGACACCCCCCCCCCCGGCGCTGAGAGCAGACTCACTCTTGGATGCCCAGGTCGGCCAGTGTCGTGTCCAGGAAGGGGAACGGTTGGTGCGCCGGCTCTGGCTCCACCTGCACGGGCAGTGTCACCGACATGGGGATCTCCCACTCCAGCTCCACACGCACCACCCTTCCGCGGGGCCCCGGGGAGCCTGCTCCTCCTCCGCCCTCGACCTCGCCCTCCTCCGACAGGCCCTTCGTCTCGTCTGCCGCCAGTTTGACTGATCAGTGCCCCGGAACAAAAGAAATGGGACGCGTCCCTCGAAGGGTCTTCGCTTTGTCTCTGAGGCCGGACCTCTCCTCCTCTCAGCTGGTGGTCTCTGATGATGGAGGCCCTCTAGAGAAGTGTGTGTCTAAAATGCTTCCCGACCCGCGCTGTTATAAGCAGCCGGGGTGAATGTGTGTTATGTGTCACTCAGATGTTAGATTTATTCAGCCGTCGGGGGAGGTGGAGGTTGGTGGTGTTTGCACCGCCAGGTGTGTTGGTGGATCATCAGGCTGACCGGGCCTCCGTTAGTGGAGCATGTCTTGTCCCTAAAAGGAGGAGGTATGTGTGCCCGAAAGCACTTGCAGTCTTTGTGGAAAATAATAATGACGAAGGTGTTTGTGTGTCTGTGTGTGTTGTCGGTGTACCGCAGGAATCTTTCCCCACAGAAGCAGCACTCTGGACTCAGCGTGTCACATTCCGTGGTCAGCCTCAAAAAGTCCCGGCTACGTCAGGTGACGTGAGGGTTTGGGAATGTTCAGAGCCAAAAGGCAGGTCGACCGGCTGAGCATCAGGTCACGGGACCAGATGTTCAGGTTTTGGCTCATTGAGTTCTAGCCAGCAAGGTAACAAAAACAACAATCAAACCAAAGTGGCTTAATTAAAATGAACACGGCAGTGGAAGGGACATTTCCCAGCTTTGCGCTGCGACCTGAACGCACCACAAGCGGGTTCAACACAGTGACCTTAAGGATTCCTGCGGTGACTCAGATCAGTTGTTACTTTTAATAATGTGGAATTGTTGAGGCGTCAGAAGAAGATGCTCTTCTACGGGAAGCAGGGAGGTGCTGATGTTCCTCCAAGTTGCATCTGAGTGGGTTCTGTATATTATTCTGCACCACAAACTCCAATCTGAATATTAAGTTCTTTGGTCCAGAACCACAGACGTTAAGCTTCCTGGTCAACGTTGTTATTCTAGGATGTATCTAGAGGTGTTCAGTGTAAAATATATATTTAAAGTGCATTGATTAATGAGCACTTCATGTTGGAGAATATTATACGTTACAACATAAAAAAACTATCCTAATAACTACAGAGTTTATCAGGCATGAATATGTGAAGAGTGGAGGAGTAATTGAATACTGTTGTACAGATTTAAACACATTTTATTAAAAGTTTAAAAAGATCAGATCCATGTTGAAAATAAAAACTGTATAACAAAGCTACTGCATCCAGATGTTCACTTAAACATCAAAAACAGTTTGGGACATTAGTTTATGCAACAATTGTAAACTCAGCGGGTATAAACATTTAAAAATACAACCATATGAACAAATTAAAACCAGATTAGGTTCAATTTAAAAATCACACAATTCATATAAAAACATTTAACCTGTGTGATCTGTTGTTGAAAATGTAAAAGACTGAATTCATTTATTATATTTTTCTATAAAAACATTAACTCCCTCAAATGCCGTGTGTGTGTGTGTGTGTGTGTGTGTGTGTGTGTGTGTGTGTGAGAGAGTGTTCAGGCGGTCATCATGGGCCTTGCAGGGTTTATGGTGATGTCACTGAAGGGCGTAGACTGACGGACAGTCACCTGTCGTGCAGACAGCAGCTCTGAGGAAGACACAAGCTTCACAGATTAAAACATCACAATGTACCACTCAATGTTGCTGTTGATCAGATAAGAAAATATTAACTAGAAATGGTGCTAGTTTAACAATATATATCCTAACTGGCAAACTTTCTAAAAGGGGCGAAAAGGGAAGTTACACTGTTTTTTTTCCGACCATTAAAGGGACAGTATCCCAAAATATATCTTGTTATATATGCGTAAATATGTCTGAACTACCCTGCTATTGATGGATTTAACATCCTCCTCATCACAAGTCATAGGTCATCGCTGCATATCGGTGGCGAGCAGCAACAAGAAGACGGCAGCTTATGATTTGCTCACCCAGCAGCGTGTGGAGGGTGTGAGCTGCGGTGGTGCGGTCGGCCTCTGGGGGCACCAGAGAGTCAAAGGTGATTTCTGCAGAGCTCTGCAGGCTGGAGCAGATCCACCTGGGAGACGGGCACATAACCAATTACACTGCCTGCACTTGGTTACAATCAGTAACCATGTTGAATAGAGTACCTGAGCATGTCCCTGGCCTCCTGGTCAGTCTGAGCCTCGGGCATCTCAACGTTCTCCTCCTCGATGGGCTCCATTCGAAGAAGGGCCTCTTCTTGTGGAGACCTAAACACACACACACACACACACACACACAGACACACATTTCTTTCTCCATCTAGCTGTCCGTCTGTCCGTCCATCTGACACTTACCATTTGCTGACGGGAGTCATCACGTCGCTTATGGACTTGTCCTCTTTGGACATGTCCAGGATCACAGCTGTGTTCACACACACACACACACAAAGACAAAGGCATACAGAGGCACTCGATGCATGTCAGGCAGCCTTAAGCACACGGTGAGCTGCAAAAAACAAACATGACCTGAAAGACTGATGCAATGTGGCCGAGGGGGAATTCTTACATGAGCTATCAACGGGTTGCAGTCCTGACTCACTGGATATCTGAGCGAGAGACAGAGAGTTTATGATGTGATTCCTTCACTCTCAGGCTTTTGCAGGCCAATGTTGGGAGTTTGGTGAGAATGTTTTGCGCTTCTCTCCCTAAACGGGATGTTAACGACCTCCCCTCCTCACCTCCCTCACGCTTGACTGCCTCCTCTTCCTCTCTGTTCTCAGTATTTCTCTGTCCCGCTGTGACTCCTCTTCCTCCCCCCACAAACCCCCCGAGTGTCCGTGCAGGGCGGTGAGCGAGGCGCTCTGCTTCCACAGGGACTGCAGGTCGGTGTTGAGGAGCGCTGTGGAGGGGGAGGGGGGGTCAAAGGTTATGCTCTGTATTTTGTCTTTCCCTTGGCACAGCTGATGTGTAGCGTGTGTGGAATGCCAGGGCGACTCAAGAGCCGCTGAATGCGCTGATACAGCGTTTCAGAGGCGCCACAAGGTCGCTTCAGGATGGAAAACACACACACACACACACACACACACACACACAGTGTGTCCGTCACGTGAGGACGAGCGAGGGAAGGATCGTAAAAGTCAGCAGTGTGAGCTGGGCAGCAGCTAGGGGGCAGCGTGGTACTGACATCCACAGGGGGCGGCGAAGAGCTGAGCAGGAGGGGGCCGCTGGGTCAAGGCGTGAACGTCCAGCAGCACCTCGGACTGGGAAGAAGAACAAAATGTTAGCATTCATTTGCATGTTTTTTGCATGTTATTACAGTTGTGAGTACACAGTGAGTGTGTGAGAGAGCACGTGAGCGGCCGAAAGCCAATGACGGCGCCTCAAAGGAAATCAAAGCCATACAGACGAAGACAGGGAGGAAGAAAGGAAAACGAAATCAATGAGCGCTCCCCTCAGAGAGCGGGAGTTTAATTAACCGGCAGCCTGGCGGAAAGAGACTTTGAAGGCAAATCTTTGATCACAGCGCGGCGACGGACCCTCGATGCTCGTCAGCGTGTGCTCATGTGTCTGAACAGACCCCCTTGCGTAACGGGGTCACGGGGCCAAGCAGCCATTTATTAAAAGAGGCCGGCACCGGATGGATGAACACCCCCCTGCCTCCTCCCCCACAATCTCTGCTCAGTCACACGAGTAAAGAGCAGCAGGACCACGTGGGGCAGGTGAAGCCTTAAGGGAACCGAGGTTCTCTTTACGTGACTGGATCGTAGTTCAGTGTGTTACCAGTCCCAGTGTCTCCGCCAGCCGGTTTTCAATCTGTTCCTTCATGGCTCCTTCAGATATCTGGACCTGAGGGTCGGCGAAGACCAGCTGACGCCGGAGTCCTCCGCCGGGCTTCCGAGGAGGAGGAGCCGCCGTCTGATGGAAGAGTGACACAGCTTTAGTGTTTGCGGGACAGGATCTATAAAAAGGACTCTTAACAGGTCACACAAACTGCCTCACATTTCCAAAACAAAACTAGCTGCTGTTTATGAGTCACCGTGCGGAATGTAAATTGATGTTGATGCTGGTAAACGCCTCTCCACAGTCATCTGTGACCTACATGTCGTAATGTCAGACAGCAGGTAGATCAAAACGTCTTAACGGTGCGTAGACAGGCACTCAACTTGGATTTAATGGATCTCTAATTTTCTGCTAAGGACAAGATCACACAAAGGAACTAACTGACAGGGCGACGACAAATCATGTTCGGAGGCTTTTATGCTCTGAATAATTCTTCTTCTTCACCTCTTGATTGGGACTTTCTGAGTCTCCCCCTTTCCCAGATTCCCCGCAGGGTGGCGTTGGCATGGCAACATGCCGCAGGGTCATCTCCAGGGCGACGGCCGCCTGAGGACCCTCCGCAGGGTGAGCAGAGTCCTGGTCGAGCAGCCACACACTGTCCCGCCCGGCTGCCGTCACCGTGTCCTTCAGCCTGCGATCGCACGCACACACACACACGCACACATACACACGGTCGGAGCGAACACACCGACTGCCGATGAGTTACAAACCAAGCGGCCAAAGACTCACTGGTCGAAAGAGGACGTGGCTCCTTCTCGTTGCCGTTCGCTCCCGTCTGTCTGCTTCACTTCTGTTCAACGCACAAGAACACAACACAGTGTCATAACTACTACTACTACACAACAGACGTCCACGGATACACAAGGAACTGGATGTCCTTGTTGAATAGAAACTCTTCGTGTGGTCAATGGAGAACGAAAACAAGCGTGCAGCTGACTTAGTAGAGTTGGCGGTTTCGTTAAAGCTAGACAGGCTTTTTCAGGGACTGATGCGCCTCACGGGTCCTGGAGTTTAGAACAAACCCTCCGGAGACTCTGGACTGAACCCCGTAAACCCAAAAGGTACCTCCATCACGCACAAAGGTCAGACGGCCGCACACACCTGTACAGAAATGCTCCGTTTGATCCATCAGCAAGTCGATCTCTCTGGCTGTGGCTTCGGGAAGGTCAACGCCCTCGAAATCCCGCTACCGACCGAGGGGGGGGGGGGGGGGCGAGGGGGGCACGAGAGTCAGAAGAGGAGTGAAGTGACCGATGAAGCGATCGGTACCAGAAACAAATACAAGCAAAGTGGTTCGGTCTAGTTACTGTTAGCAAAGTAAAACAAGGTCAAATACAAAAGCATATATAGGGAAATATCTCAGCTTTTCAAAGTGTGTGTGTGTGTGTGTGTGGAGGGTGGGGGGGGGCACATATCTGAGCCACATATCTCTGCGAACAAACAGCGAGAGCAGGCTGATGTGATTAAGTCTGATCCAGTCAAGCCAGAATGGACCTGAGGAGCTTCAGGAGCCACATGATCCGTCCCCGAGTGACAGAATGAGGAGGCCGGCAACGCGAAGGAGGTTCAGAGCGACCGGAGGGAAACACAGGAGCAGGTTTGATGGAGCTGGAGCGCCTGACAAGACGTTGATCAAGGAATTTCGGTCAGGTGCCGGGAATTCTCCGCCCACATTCCGCTACACACCATCAACTTCCTGCATCATTTACAGCGCTTTAAAAAAATCTATGGAATTGTTGTATTTGTATGAAACGCTCTTTTTGAGCAGCAAGGGAAACACAACAACACAAACATACAAATTGGCCGTGCGGTATATAATCTGGGCGGCACGGTGGCGTGGTGGTCAGCACTGTTGCCTCACAGCAAGAAGGTCCTGGGTTCGATTCCGCCCAGTGGCCTTTCTGTGTGGAGTCTGCATGTTGTCTGCGTGGGTTCTCTCCGGGTTCTCCGGCTTCCTCCCACAGTCCAAAGACATGCTCTGGGGATCAGGTTTATTGGGGACTTTAAATTGCCCGTAGATGTGTGAATGTGAGTGTGAATGGTTGTATGTCTCTGTGTAGCTCTGCGATTGGCTGGCGACCAATCCAGGGTGTACCCTGTCTATCGCCCGAAGTTGGCTGGGATGGACTCCACCCCCCCCGCGACCCTGTGTGCAGGATAAGCGGTTTGACAATGGATGGATGGATGGTATATAATCTGCACGCGCTGTGGCTGACAGCAAAGAGCGAGCAGCTGACTCGTGACGCTGCCGTGGGGGGGCCCTCCCCGTCCCGTCCCAGCTCGGTGATTCACGGGGACGACTGACACGTTTGCCCCAGAGATTACCTCGGCAGCGGTGATGACAAACTGCTCCTTCTCTTTCAGGGAGATGTCACCCGGAAGTGACCTGAACCCTGGTTGAAGACAGCAGGAGGGACAGGGAGACATGTGAGGACAGCGGAGGAGAACAGCAATGTGCAGATAAAATGAGACAAACTCACAAGTGTCCTAAGAGGAACGTTGAAGTACAGCAACATTTTTGTGGCAAAAACCCATTTATGGAATCTAAGCTAATGAACTGACCCATTTCTAAAACCTTTGGCAATTTATTTGATTATCGTGTCCCGAAAACACGACACAAATCAGAACGATCTCACTTCTTCATTAAAGTAGCAAAGACCTAGAAAAACACTAATGAACCAAAGATTGTACCAAACGTTGTATTATACGTTGTGTCGTTTCCTGAGAGGCCTTAAACAAAGGACTCTTGTGTTTAGTCTGGAAACACGGACCCCGCCCCCCCAAATAGTCAGCCTCTCAAGTGTTACAGAACCCGTCTCACCGCTGACGTCCGGCGTGCCGTGGCGACTGGGCACCAGGGATCGCTGTGAACCCGCCGCTTCAAACCCCGACATCTGCTAGAAATAAATACAAATACACAAAGACACAATAGTGACGCGGAGCATTTTTTGGATTGTGTGAACTGAGCTCGGCTCTAAATATGCAGCAGTTTACTAAAAGAGGTGCAGTTTGCTTTAAATTCCATGACAGCGCTGGCTTCCATTCCCACACGTTTGCGCTGTCTGTGGTATTTCCTCGGGGGGGGGGGGGGGATCCTAACAAGGAGGCCAAAGTTCAGCCGCGCCTGACTGGATTTACAGCACTTGGGCTGAGCCGTAGGTACCTACTGTGATTTAGTGAGACGACACCAGTGGACACTACGGAGACATGTGGTAGCACACGCTGCGCTAGAGGAGGAGTAGAGGAGCTGCACGTGTGTACGTAAAGAATCACTCTCACCAGCTGGTGGTTTATCATGCTACTCTAGAGAAACATTTGGCATATTAGATCAAACCCCCCCTGTGCTCATATGTCAGAGCCAACACGTGTGCAGTGCATGTTGCATGTTGTACGGCTGCCGTTACCTGGTGCATTTTATAGGGGCTGGGCAGCTGGTGTGACTCCATGAGGCCGAAGAAGGGGTCCTGAGCTCCCTCGGCCTCGTCCATCATGTGCATGCTGTCAGGCACGTCCAAGGTCAACCTGCGAGAAAGAGTGAGAGAGCAAAACACAATATACACATGGAAAATATTCTAACATCAATCACGTTTTAGTACTGCGGAGCCGATGCAACGCTGTGCTCACTTTAGACCCCAGTGTTGATTTCATGGGATTTATAAAATGTGAAAAATATTACTGGATATAAGATGAAGACGCGGCGTCTTTGAAGGGCAGAATGTGCAGAGTCTGCAGGAACCAGAGCTCCTACATGATCAGCTGTTACAAACCACAGCATATTAAACATTTACGAAGCAGTTTGCATGAGAGCCGCTCGATTTGCCCACCACTCACCTAATAGAACACTACCACCTCTCGTCTTTGTTCCCCAAAACAATCCATCTCATAAATATTCCACCAGACGCGTTTGAGCTCTTCTACTCCCCTGAACACCAACAATCTCTGCACAGCTTAAAACCTTCGGCGCCCAAGGATACAAAACAGTCCACTGCGCATAATCAAATGTGTGTGTGTGAGACCTGTCAGACTCGGCCACGTCGATTGATATGCATCTTTTGCAGTGCATCAGGCGGTCAATGGTCTGTTGAACCTCGCCTGGAAAACAGAAACAGGTTAAAGTTGAGTTTTCACCCACATACACACCTCAAGACAAGGTTTAAAATATCTGACATGGCGGATGTAATGAAGGTGACCATTATGCCGTCCCTCTACACACAAAGAGGAGGCAAAGCATCTTTTCACCACGAGTTTCATTAAAGATTGTGCATAAAAGCTACTAATGCACGAACTCTAGGTTCATTATAATCTGAGCACTAGTCAGCAGTAAGGAGGAGAAAATAGTGGAAAATTCATTATAAAAGAAAAGATGATGAAACTGTGAGAACCGTGCCGTGCTTATGAAATACATCATACCCGTATTTTGTACTTACTTCTGATCTATTTCACTGAAATGAAAAAATTGGGGCTGAATCCACCACAGACTACAGACTTGGCTTCTCCTCCTGCTTATCTTCATGCATTGTATTTCCCGCTTTAATCAACCACAACAACAGCACGATTGGGGAATCTGTCGGATGCGATATGAATAGGCTGTATTTAAGGACAGCAGAGGGTTTAACTGCTCTTTATTTCTAAACCACAGTCGTCGAGGTTGTTTGCAATTGGGAAATGTGCATTTTGCAGTCGAATGACAACAACAACAACAACAACATTGTTTGGGGTTTTACGCCGAGTCAGCTGAGATTTATCGGCCGGCAGAGAAAACCGGTCTGCTGTGTTTTCACATTTTCACCTGAGCATCCCCGACGGGAAAATACTGTTTCCTGCCGAAATGAAAATGATCCTGCTGACTGACTGCTTTTTTGTACCAGTAAGAAGCTGGAAAATCGTTCCCCTGTCCTTCTAATCCCATTACGTCCCTGAGCGCGCTGTCTTCTGCCGTCTGCCTCGGGCTCAGAACGACACTTCTGTCACAGTAACTGAAGGCACAGTACGTTGATTCCAGGCCTTCCCTTTTTACTTCCTTCACTTGATTCTTCCTGTCCCCCCCTCACCGAGCAGGAAGCCGCACTGCCTGTGGAAGACCACCACCACTCCGTACTGCAGCTGGCACGTCAGGTAGAGGGAGAACCGAGGCCTCGCCTGGTGGGGTTGAGGTGGAGGAACCTGAGCCGTCACGTAGTCCAAAATGTCCCCGCTGAAGTGATAAGCGTTTGACAAGATAAAAAATGCAAAGTTTACAGTGTGTTTCATGTTAAATAAGTCATGCAGGAGTCCTGTAAAAGGAATATCAAGGTTTCAATTTAAAGAGGATGTGACGCAGGAGCATAAAACCATCATAGCGAACTGGACTGCAGATTAAGATCTATTACAGAGAAATACACAATTGGACAGATTGGCCCGGGATTGGTCCTTAAAATATAAAACAGAACTTACGGTTTATCGTTTGTACTAAAATTATTTAAATAAATAAGGTCTGTCAGATAAGCTAACGTAGCCACATTTTACCATGTTCGCCTGATGTTGACTTTGAGAAGCTCTCTGCGATCGACCAGGATGCCTCTGGTTGCTGCTAACCTGAATAACAGAACACATATTTGGACATTAATGAAATTTAAAATAAAATAAAAACTTTGCTGACGGGCATTTGACACATAACGTTAAGCTAGCTCCTAATGAGTTCATAGGAAGCTAACGTTAGCTAACAGGCTAAACTCACCAGACTGTTGAAAAGCATCCAGAGTGGCGTTGGAGGACGTTCGGATAGTAAAACATTTTATCTGTCTGAATGGAGCAGATGACGTTACGTTGAAGATGGAGGAAAAAGGTGTAGGGATGAATTTAAGGAAGAGAATGGTAAAATATTAAAAGCTCCGGTAAATTGTGGCGCGAATTTTGAGCGCTAAAATCGCCGCGAACCAATCAGGTTCTGCGCTTCATCGGATTTAAAAGTGAACAGCTACGATGCGTTCAAGGACCAAAGGGAATTTAGAGAAATACATATTGAGACAGAAATGTAAATAATGGGAGTACAGCATGGGTTTTGGGTGTGTATTTTTATCACAGTGAATGCGTTGGTTACTAAATGGTACCAAGAATTAATCATTGTGCTATTCCCTTAAGTGCACTTAAGTACTCACACAACTAAAGCTAAATGAACAGTTATCAAGGGGACACGCGGTAACAACCTTGTGTCATTTTTGTTTTGCCGTGGCTTCACACTTCTCGTGGATATAAATATTGATGTATTATTCTAAAATGCACTTCACGCGCTATCGTGTGCGGAAGTACCGCTCTCCATTTTTAACTGCGGGAACCCGACAGGCACGTGTGACGTCACCCTCCTTGTGGGCGAGCGGCGGACGCTTGGCCGCGCCTCCTCAGTGCGCGAGGAGGCAGGCGGTAGCGTGCACGCGCCGCGAGGGTTGAACCTGACCGAGAGCCGCTTCAGTGAAGAAACCAGAAGAAGACGAAGGGGAGCGCACGTCTACATTTATGTTTTATTCCGTCGGAGCGAACCCTTTTTAAAATGGCGTACCACAGTCCGTACAGAGGGGCCCCGCAGAACAACGCGACCCCGGACCAGAGTTTTCTGTGGAACATCTTCCAAAGGTGAGTGTGCGGCAAAGGAGGCGCGTTGCTCTTGAACGTCGTTTTCCTGCCTCGTTATTTTTGTTCACTCCCCGCGTCGTCCTCGTCGCTGTCTCGTGTCATAAAAGCAGCGCTCCGCAGTCCCGTTTGCGGCTCCTCGGGTCCGACGGTACCAGCTCAGCTTCCTGGAAAACACGCAGCCACACACACACAGCCACACACACACACACACACACACACAGCGTGTGTCGGTGTGTCACGGAGCGGATTATCACGGGAAATCCGGCTCTGTGATCTGAGTTCTCGACCTGGGGTCCAAGGACCTCCAGAAGTCCTTGAAGCCCTTTTTGGGGGTCTCTCTCTCTCCCCCAACAAAGAAAAAGAGCGACTTAAGATCACTCGTTTACAATATATAATACTCCAGTATTCGATCTCTGTGCTGCCTTCGTGGGTGAGTAGAAACAAAAATCCTCTCAAGATGAGGTTTCCTGAAATATTCTGACAGATGTGAGCACACGTGACGTAGTATGTGTCTCATTGTGGGAGGCGGATGTGCACGAATACGTTGGAAAAGTCAGTCCGACGCCACATAGGCTGTTATTAGTAGTATTGTGTTGACGTCACGGTATCCGTGACGTGTGCAACCACTGCCTGTCATGCATTGCACCAGTCAGAAGCGTGTCAGCCGCTATAGGAGGGTCGCGGTAGTGGGCAGAGTGGGGGAATACTCGCTATGCTATGGCCCCTGGTAATAGTAAGAGTTATGCAATACTGCAGAGGAGTTGTTTTTTCTCCCCCTACTGCTTTGCTTTCTCACAACGTTGAGATGCTGCACGCATTGCAAAGCCGGGAGTAACATATTACTAATAACGTGTAGGGAAGTGAACTCTTTGGAAATCCGGTTGATGTCCACATTTTGTCTCACGGTTGCGTCGTGCGAGTTGCAGCAATTTGAGTTTCATCGAGCCGCGCTGTTGTCTCTGACTGTCAGCGCTGCCTCATCTGCTGCTGTGTCCTGGCATGTGGATTTCCCCCAGTCACGTGATCACAGTCAATAGGGAATAGAAGGCCTCTGAATTGTTGTGTGTCACACACACACACACACACCTACCGAGTAATGACTCACAGTCCTCACTGCAGCTTCATCTTTGTGTATGAAAATCAAAGTCAGTCTACGTAAGTCTCTTTGTCTCGTCTAATCATGAATGGGTGGCGCCCTTCATGGTGAACTGTTAACATAGGCTGGAATTTGTGTCTATTTAAAGAAACCAAAATTCTATTGGGCAGCGAGTGAATCACGTGGAAGTCGTTCGCTCCGTTTAATGACCGCTTTCCAATGAATGGAGTTAGTATGACACAAATGTTTCCACCCGGCCCTTCAGGAGCAAAGAACAACATCGGCGTTTGAGTTGGGCTTAGATTAACAAAAGACACGTTGCTATACAACTACGACATGTTCAATGGTCGGCCCGCACAGCTGGATGAACTTTCTGGAAATCTAATTCAAACTCTTGGCTCTCTAAATCAGATCTTGTCGGGATGGAAACGTGGTTTTTGGGAGAACGAGTGTTCAGTCAGGGTGAGATTCAACAGACAATCCACCATACATGAAGTAGAAGCAAACCCGTGGCCTCATCTGCAACTTAATGCGCCAGGATTTCCTTGGAAAGTTTTGTCAAATTGAATGCAGCTTTTGTTTTTTCCCCCCGTTAAGGGAGCCGCTGTGACGCTGTGACGCGGTTTATGTGGAAGGCCGGACGAGCTTTGTTCCACCAGATGTTTTATTAAGAGGAAACAGTGAGACACGGGAAAGCCTGCGTGGAATAACCAGGAGTCTTTATGTTGCTGCACGTACAACTCCCTGTTTGACAGCGTGAAGACGCCAACGGTCCGTGCTGCTGGGGAGGTCATTTTTCCATGAGTTAGACTGAGTGAGGGGGGAGGGGGGGCATATTCTGTACACGTACTTCATTGAGTTGTGATCTATCACAGTTTGGTAAATGTTGGTTCCCCCGCCTGCACTAACCCCCTCATCCCCTGTGACAAAGCCCTCATTTAGGGAGATATGTTCCCCCCCCTGAGGAGAGCAGTCCGGCCTCCCTGTGTTTGTGTTTTCCTTTGGGGGGGTAAAGCGAGGAGCAGACGTGTAGCTGGTCGCCGTGTCGACGGCCCTGAAGGCTGCGGGGACGGAGATCCAAACCGCACGTGAAGCGTCGCAGCTGGGAGCGGAAACTCCGTCTCATGGGGTCAGCTCTGGGACCGGAGGGGACGTGGGGCACGGGGTGTCCCCGTCTCCTCCGCTCGCTCTTTTTCTGCTGGTATGCGGCTCGTGTCCGTTGCGTGTGCGCTGTGACAACAGGAGGGTTGCTAAGGAACTGAGTCACTGGACGCTTGACTAAAGCTTCATCTCAGATCAGCGAGGCCCGCCGTCCAGCATGTCCCCCGCTGCCTTCCCCATGTCTCTGGGTCTCAGAGGACGCCTTTCGGCTGTGGGTTTAATAGCCGGCGTCCTAGCGGCTAGATGGAGACGGTTCAGCAAACAAACAGAAAGCGCGAGCCCAAAGCGATCATCCAATTACTGAAGGTTAAGTGCTGTTACCGCCAGGAGAATGAACGCGTTGTTGCGTGAGGAAGCGTTCTCGTTCCAGGGCGCCAGTATGTGTTTTCATGACATGTGACTGTTGGTCAGGGGACGATGACGTGTCCAGAAAGAGGGAAACAGAACTCCCATCAACCTATTAATGCAAAAATGTTGATGATGCTTTTGAGAAGAGGCGTGTTGTTTGGCTAATGGATTAATTGTTTAAAGTTATAAACCTCAGCTCCCGGGTCACTATAAGGATTGTTTATAGACGCAAGTTTATTTCAACATCATGCCTAATTCTAGTGGATCATTGAATAATGAGCTTTTGGAAGAATTTCTTTATTATCTATCAGGAACATCTTGTTGTGTGTAATCACACGGCCCAAACCGCTCGTCCATCACGCGCCTGTTTTCTTTTGTTTCCTCTTCTTTCTTCAAAAGAATGTCACTCTCCGACAATCTTTCAGGTGCTGAATGCCGGGAGCACGATGACATTGAAACATTCACTTTCACTTTCCACTCTCTCAGAATCAATACACACACACACACACACACACACACACTTGGGGCTTGTCTGACTGGTCCCAGGAGAGCAGCGAGCGCACAAGCTGCCTTGTGTGTCCTGATCTTAGGACCCCATTCATCCTCAGTGGACTGTTGAAATACTAACACCCGCTCAGGGGCTCACGTTCAGCCGGCGTGTGTGTGTGTGTGCGTCTGTGTGTGAGAGGTGGTCTAATCTGTGTGCTCGTCCCCAGGGTTGACAAGGACCGGAGTGGGGTGATATCCGACACAGAGCTTCAGCAGGCCTTATCGAATGGTACGTATCCGTGTCTGGCTGTCCTGCCGCTCCTTTTTCATTGTTTTTTTCTGTTTCCTCGCTCTTCATTTGTTTTTGATCCATCCGCCCCCCCCCCCACACACACACACTCCCCCCCACACTCCCCCTCTCGCTGCACACCATTGCTTTTTCTGCCACTCTTTGATTTAAGCAACTGCCAAGCTTAAGCAGAAAATAAAAATCAAAAAGCCAAATAAAAAATGAGAGGCGTATTATTTTTGTCCCAGGAAAAAAGAGGAGAATATGGAAAGTTTCTTCAAAGGAGACGCGGCGTCCGTGTGTTGACAGCTCGCGAGGACTTGAGACAGTCTGTCATTCTTTCTTTCTGTAAAACCTAAATAAAGGTTAAAAGGACAAATGGATAAGATTCGTTTAAACGTCAGAAAGGGAGCGTCTCCGGCCGGTTAGAGACCCCGATACCTGCAGCAGGGATCCAGCGGTGCCTCCGAGGCCGCGTTTGCATCACGTTTGATGAAGTCATTGGTTATTCCGCGTCCTAAAAGCCGTCTCTCTTCAAATATTAAAAGGGAGACGTAGTGTTTGAAGATAGGAGCAGCCTGAATCCATCCCACTCGTCCCAAGTATGTAAGCTGGGGATCTTCATTCATTTCCTAATCAGGGATGGCCGGGTCCTAATCCAGTGCGTGTAATATTCAAAAGGCCGGCGCAGCTTCATTTGTTTGCCATTTTCGGAGCTGCAGCCGCGTAGGGACACCTGACCGGACATCTTTGCTAAAAGGGACACCTGACCTGACATCTTTGCTAAAAGGGCGTCGGCCTCGATTCAGTGACTGCTCCTTTTTAAATGATTGATATGAGGAGAATGTGGGCTCTTCCCTCATAAAGCATCGAGCGCAGACACCGGCAGGCCAGGATGAGATTTGCCGTTAAGTTACTCAAGGAATTAATATTATTTACTGGAGAAGCTGTTACCAGAAGTGTATGTTGTTATTTGCTCACATTAGGTGGCCATGGCAGGTTACCAAATCTGTGTATTTGCCAACTCCTGTGCAAGATCATCAAAAGATGTTTCTGCTCCACACCGCCTTTCATTTTCACAGGCACATCTCACTCACCGACAGAAGAGAGCAGATACGTCTCTCGCGCAGGCTGAGAGACGGTGAAGGCGTCACTTCATTGATCCGGTTCACGTCATCCAATCCTTTTGAAGTGATCGGCCGGACCAGCAGCTCTTTATCGCCTTTGAGTGTCTTTTCAAGTGAATTTGCAAACCCGATCACCGTTTACCGCTTTCACACCGTGTGACAATTGATAGTGGGACACGGGGCAGCAACAGTAACCGTGGACGCGGGACACGGAGGGCTGCAGGGTTGACGTCTTTTTGTAAGCCAGCTTGGGAAGCTTTTTGTTTAAAATAGTGAATGTTCAACTATAGAGCAACTTCACTGTGGTCACGTGACTTTACGTAACCACCATCAAGCCAAAGGTTGGACGAGTGATCGCCGTGGTGACGAGTTGTCCCATTTTTTTCCCAAAGAGGCCGCTAAAACGTCTGAGGCTGAGTTCACTCAATTTAACCATCGTCCTTTTTTCAAGCATCGAACCAGCAACTCATTGACCTTGAGGCGAAGTCCACAAATGCCAACTCGTCTCCGGTTTTAGGATTCCTGCAGCAGGAGCGATAAAGCACAGGTCAGTTAAAACATTCGGCGTTCCCGGGGACGTGTGCGGCTGCATCGGTCGGGCAGCTTTTCAAAGACTTCTGGACGGATTACTCTCCCCCTTTTTCTGCGCACTTCAGAAGGAGGAAGAATCAGTAATCAGGCGGCGCGCCGGCTCGGGCTCCGCATACTGATCGGTGCGTGTTTCAACTCGATTCAATTCATTTGTGCAGCCCAACATCACAGATTTCCCTCGGCGGGCGTGACGATCTGTGAAGCGTGCGACATCCTCTGCCCTCGGACCCTGACATCAGATGAGAAGGATCCCTCGGTTTATAGCGGCTGTGTGCTTCATCACTGTAGTGTTCTAATGAACCCTGAAACACAGAGATGAGTCTGCTGTTCTGCACGTCCGATTCTATCTCCCGGGAGTCGATGCCTGAAGAAAGGTCCGTGGTAAACTTAACCAGTGAGATTTTAACTTTTTATTTTTCTACAAAAAGGCCTTCAGCTTGGTGGTGCATCGGCAGTGATGTTCATTTATAGCCGAGCATTAGGCCTCCTACTTCTGGCAACTACATTTACACCTAATAATAACATAATTTTTCTTTTCTTTATTATTATTATCTGCAGAAACAAATCCAAACAAAGTGGGTTCTACTTTGTTATCTTGTCAGTGCTTCATTGTGCAACGTCTTTGGGTGTTGACTTATTCCGAGTTTGCTTAACACGCAGATTTCTTGGGAGATAAAATAAGGAAGAATATTAATATAACCTAATTCCAAAGGGTTACGTGGTGACCGCTCCAAAGTTCCTCCTGGCATGTCTGTCTCTGAGTGTTAATCTGAACCGTTCTGTCCAGTCAGAGCGTGTGCAAGAAGTCTCTTCTCTAACGAACACGCGTGTTGCCGCACGCGTGCGTGTTTATCGTAAGTGTGCAGGAGTGCAAGGGTTCGGAGAAATAGCCTTTTGTTTCCACGGACTTTGCAGACGTGTGAGCTTGTCCGGTTTCTCCGTCCCGTCTCCATCGGTTCATTAGTCTCACTGCGATGGGACGCTGAGCCGGTGAGGCTGAACACGCGGCGCACCGCGTCCTGTCCTGCAGTTTGCTCCCTAAAAGCCAGCGAGCCTGCAACTGTCTGCCTGCCTGCCTGTGTGTCTGTCTATTGCGGACCATGCAAATACTCCTTTTGTTTACATCACAGCATCAACTGAGCTTTGTCGTCCGTCCCCCCCCCCCCCCCCCCCCCCCTGAGGGAAGCAGTGAGCATGAAGAGCTGCTGCTGTTTCTGACGAGCATCCGCTCTCTTATGTCATCTCCCTGCCAAGAACATTTTCCAGCCAAAGGTGCTCTTTCATCAAGCGCCTCGCTGTGCGCATGATGTCATTCCTCTCTGCTGTCACAAACTCTTCTTTCTAACTTAGAAACCAGTGCAATTTCCTGACTACATGAGACCTGATGCAGCGTCCTCCTCCTCCTCTCCTCTCTCCTCCTCTCATTCCGTCTCCCAGGAAACGGCACCAGCTCATTGCCTGCTGTGTCCTCTTACCTTTCTCTGCATTCCACCTCCCCCTTCTCACTTCCCTCTCTCCGTCCCGCCGTCGGTGATGGGTGGGACAATGTCCTCCCCCGTTGAGACACCGACTGGCATGTCCGTGTTTGTGTTTGTGTGTTGCAGCATTTGCTGTACATAAAGAGGTTTTCTCTGCGTCCCTTCGCTCAGCAGAGAGCCGACATCATTCCAACTTGCCGCCATGTTTCCTCACCCCCCACGTCTCCCCCACGTCTCCTGCACACTCTGATTAATGCTTCTCCCGGAGTTATTTATTTAAGCGTGCAGGAGCAGTAATGGCCACTGAAATTGCTGATCCGATCGAGGGAGCAAGGGGCTCGGCGGTGCGGCTCAAGGAGCTCGTTCAACATCTCTCACCTTTACTCTTATTTATTTTTTACCTCTTGGCTCCCATGATGGCGTTTAGCGTATGTTTCTGTTAGCCCGGGTGGAGCGGTTTGAAATCAGCTCCCTGCTATCCATCTTGTGATGCTGCATGCTGTCGTTTTTAGCTCCTGCTGTTTGTGTGTGATTTGATTCTTTGTCTTATCACACATGGGGGGGTTTTGTGTATTTTACATGCACTTCCTTTCAAAGGTTTTCCACAGACGATTGGGCCCAGTCAGATGACTGCGAGGACTACTGCTACGACTATTCTTTTAATGGCTTTTCATGCTTTTAATGCAGCACATCGTCGCATCGACCGTGACGATTTTGACTTTTTTTACATTGCCTAAACTCTCCGCTATCTTTCTATCTCAAAGTCACACCCTTGCCTTGGCTCATGTGTGCGTTGGTCTGTGAAGCTACGTGTGTGTGTCTGTTAATGTGTGTGTACAAGTGTCCCACTGAGCTCCAGCACGGCCGTTGCATGAAGGTGTGCGCACACTGCGGTCGGTTCACCCTGTTTTTCCACCGGCCGGCGTCTCTCCTCACCTCCTACATCCCCCTCTCCCCCGCCCTCCTCCCGTCATTCTCTCCTCACTCCGTCCCACCAGGGGCAGTCGGGCTCACCAGTGAGAGAGCCCAGTGTGTGGACTGGACAGAGGGTACATTGTCGCAGGGCAAACATCTCGCACCCAATATGGCCACCTCACACAGGGCAGCCGCAGTGTGTCTGGCAAACACTGGTGACCTCACAGCTCGCCGCCGCTGTGAAAAGTGTGTGTGTGTGTGTGTGTGTGTGTGTGTGTGTGTGTGTGTGTGTGTGTGTGTGTGTGTGTGTGTGTGTGTGTGTGTGTGTGTGTGTGTGTGTGTGTGTGTGTGTGTGTGTGTGTGTTTGGAGAGGTCACAGCTTGTTCTTCTGTCTTTGGTCTTTTCTCTGACGTCTCTAACTTGGTATCAACATTTATTCTGGTGTTACACGAGGATTTGTGATGTCTCTGCGTGTCCTTGTCCGTCTGTTTAGGCCCTTCTGCAGATGCTCAGATAATAGCGCGCTAGAGCTAATAAACACCCAGGCCTGCATACATGCGGATATTAGCCTGTTGTATATGCACATATGTTACAAACATCACGTTTGTGGTTATTGGGTCACATATTGGAGGGGCGGGTTCGCTGTCGCTAAACGACGATCGGATCAAATTCAACACAGACGTCTGTCGGAGATAGACGTAGTAAAACCAATCCTCATAGTTATGCTTAGAACAAATGTTGTTTTACAGTTCTATGGTCAGAAAACAAAGTTTAGTACACTAGAAAACAAACATCTCAACCTCACAATGACTCAAATCTGCATTCATCCTCAAAAAAACACAAATGTCAAAACGGAATGAGAATCGCTCAAATTGATAGTAATCATTATAATCAAAGCGATGACTCATCTGACTGACGGGCCAAGAAAGAGCCTTGTTTTTTTTCTGCCACCCTGAAATGTGGAGGGACCAACCCAAACATGTGGATTATGCAAAACAAAGTGTTTACACATTTCAGTAAGCATAATATCTGTGAGGACAGTTTGTTCCAGAGAGCTGATGCGTCCTGATGGGACCAGATGTGCCTGATCTCCTTTGTAACGTACACATTCCATAGATGCTGTAAGGTTTCTAAAAGAATGTCCTCAGTACGGTACGGTCGACGGAAGGGAAACGCCAATTGGTTCCCCCGGCGGCGGCGTGCCGCACCGGACGCCGCGGGGGCCTGGTAGTGGCCCGTGGGCCGGAGTTTGAGACCCCTGATCTAAGCTCTTGTGGCTCACAGTGCAAAACCTGCAGGCAAAGATTCACTAAATAATTAACTAAAGACGAGCTGTCAGAAGCTGCACGGGAAGAAAAGGCTTCACACGGACGTCCTGCAGACGCCGTTCGCCACAGTGCCGCTAAAACTAAACTAATGTCTCACGCTGTTGCATTTTCTTCTCTGATTTCTTCGACTCGCTCTCTCCTCTCGTCTTGTCTTGTCCCTGCGTCCACACCAGACACACCCGTCTCTCCATTTCTAAGCCAGATGGCCGTCCCTCTCTTTAATAGAAGGGAGACGGTGAGTCAGCAAGGCTTCGGATGCTCTGATGAACGTCCGCGTCTTCACAGTGTGAAGAGGGACATAAAGTAGAAACCAAAGCCCAGTCAGTGCTTTTATCTCCATATACATTTTCGGTTCGTTCACATAAGATTGAAGAGTGTGTCCCACTCGTGACAAATAACCCTCCTGTTTATTTCAACGCGTCACAGAAAAGCTGCTTTAATATCATCAACATTATGACGTCCCTGGTCTGCTGGTTACGAACATGAACATGTCTCTCGCTCCTGTCCACCATCAGGCTTCACTTCTCTCTGACAAAATGTCCACCAACGCAGTAGGAGGGAGTGACGGTAGAAAGACGTTGGATTCATATCTCCGTCACACTCACTCCGCATCCTATCGAAGCAATCGCTTCGATAGGATGCTGACTCTCTTGGAAGGGATTTTTTATCACACTACGATTGAACACTACATTTTTTTCTGTCCTGATTGTGATCAAACGCCTACTGTGAAGTGTGTATATTATTTAACTAGAGTTTCTCATATTGAGAATATAGTATATTTGTATATATGTTGGCTTGTATTGACGTCGTGTTTACAGACGGAGCAGCTGTGATGAGTTCATTAGGCACTAGAGCAGTTTCTCTACCGTGTGACGGAATGTGTTTTTTTGTTTGCTTTTGTTGCGTGAAATAAAGCCCAAACGAGTAGAACGCTGCTACACCTACTTCTACTTCTAGCCCGAGAAAAACAGGTTCTTTCTGAGATGCATATTTAAGATATTCGCAAACCCAGCTGCTTTGTTCCCACGATACTTTGCCTCGCGGTACCTTCTGGCCGGCTGCCTGCTTCCCGGCATGATTGCAAAGTTGTAGTTCTGTCTCAAGGAAAAAAAAGGAGCCTCCGAGGCGCTTTGTGTAATCTACTCACCAAGTAACTATGTTCGTTTAGTTGTAGTCACAGTGGAGACCAGCGTGGTCTCACTGGGCTGCCACGCTTTGACCCGGTGTTCTTCTGTCTCACAGGCACATGGACTCCTTTCAACCCGGTGACGGTGCGCTCCGTCATATGTAAGTAGCAGCTGCCGATGAAGAGTTTGTTTGTTTGTTTGTTTGTTGGCCTCCTCCTCTTCTCCATGACAACCGGATGGATTCATTGGCCTTCGGCCAACTCATTTTTGGCTTCAGTAACTGCTGCTTCAGAGGAAACCTGCAGCCATTACTAACAGAAGGAAGAGCGAGCATCAGCAAGCAGCAGAAGAGTTTGTCTCAAAACACAGCCGCCGATTGCCTCGGACTGCAAATATTAACCCTTAATCAACGAATGGCGTGGCAGCTTTTTCTTTTAACCATGGCGTTTTTAGGCCAGACTGGACATCCAACAGGACCACAGCTACGAATGCTTTGTGCTCCACTACAGACAGAAATAGTTCCAAACCCTCGCTGTGGTCTCCTCTGTTCTTTGTTCGCTGTGTGGCTCGCAGCATAGTTCCCTTTAATTCCCTCTGCCCCCCCCAACTCCCCCTCACCTCCCCACACGCTGCCTTTGTTGGGAGGTAATTGCATTGAGGAGTGCGGTGTTGTTTGGTTGTGGCGAAGCACTTTTTCCCTCTGTTATTACGTGATCGTATGGGCCAGGAGTCAGTCACACACATAGTTTAAACCAGCTGTGTGCACGTACAGTATGTGAGTAAACCACGTGTCCCCCCCCCCTCCCCTCTCCCTCCCCTCAGCCATGTTTGACAGGGAAAACAAAGGCGGGGTGAACTTCAGCGAGTTCGGCGGCGTGTGGAAGTACGTCACAGACTGGCAGAACATCTTCAGGAACTACGACAGGGACAACTCCGGCTTCATCGACAAGAACGAGCTCAAACAGGCGCTGACTGGATTCGGTACGCAGCAAAGTATGCTTTTTATTACATTCCGGGACAATGACAGAGGGCCTCATAGCTTTTTCTATGAATGTTCCTTTCTCAGGTGTCACAAGGTTAGCTTTTGTCTTTTTAGTAGGTGTGTGTGTGTGTGTGTGTGTGTGTGTGTGTGTGTGTGTGTGTGTGTGTGTGTGTGTGTGTGTGTGTGTGTGTGTGTGTGTGTGTGTGTGTGTGTGTGTGTGTGTGTGTGTGTGTGTGTTGGTCGGTCAGCATGCCAGTTAGTGAATAAATAGTTTTCTATAATTTGTGTCAGATGCTGAAATGTGTCCGGTACGCTGATGGCGTGTTGTCTGCTGGTGTGTGTGCAGGCTATCGTCTATCGGATCAGTTCTACAACACGCTGATAGAGAAGTTCGACCGCCAGAGGAAGGGACAGGTGGCCTTCGATGACTTTGTCCAGTGCTGCATTGTACTACAGGTATCAGACTTACACTATATCCAAAATGAACTGTATTCAACCTGACTCGTCCATTTGTTTCCCCCCTACACATACCTGTGCACGCGCATGCATATCGGAAGTCCTTTGGTTTACTACTTGCATCACAACAAGCCTACTCTTGAATTTATGAGATTCAAAGGGAAGTTTTAATTATGCATGTTCAAGAAACACATTACAGTCCTCTCTTTTACATTATGAATCCCCCGCTGGAGTTCCACTTGAGCCTGTGTGTTTCTGTTTGAGTGGTTTCACTCACGCGTGCAATCGTAGGCGAAGCTGCCAAGCGTATCTGTAACCTTTGACTAACACAGGCAGCTCTTCAGGTGCACCCGGGTGGTCACGTAACGGCAGCCTTCCGACATATATTTCAATAAACAACCTTAAAATCAGGCACTTACTTTTCAGTGACCCCCCGTGGAGTGTCTGTTAACTGAGGTGCTAAATGCATGAAATGTGATGATGTTAATGTAGAGTCGTGAATGAAAGTGTTGAAACGATACCACATCATATCTGTATAAATAGACGCTTATAGAAGTTACATTTGCTATTTTTTTCCGTCCTTTCCACAGAGGTTGACCGACGTGTTCAGGCGTTACGATACAGACCAGGACGGCTGGATCCAGGTTTCATATGAACAATATCTATCCATGGTCTTCAATATAGTATAACGCACACAGAGCATCACAAAAGAGCACAACTGGACACAACTGTGCCAAAGCTACCGACACCTCCCAGATGTCCGCCTTGGTGGACACTACAAGATTATTTTTTTTTTTCTTAACCTAATTTGGGCTGTCTCAAACAAATTTATGAAAAAAAAAAAATGAAAATACTTGCTTCATGTAATTAAAAAATCAAAAATCTTGTAGTGTTTTGTTTGCTGAACTACGTCTGTGCTGGGGAAGGGAAACTTCTGGACACAACCTGTCCCTCTGTCTGTCAGTCTGTCTGTAATTGTCGACAAAACTTTTCAACGTCTTACCTTTTTCATTGATAAAATAAAAAAAAACTCAGAGTAAAAATGATGCATTGTAAATATGATTTAAGATGCATTGCATGCTTGTCGGGGAGATTCGGCCCTACGTTGAAGCATGCTTTCCCTTTCTCTCGTCTTTTCCTCAGCCCTAGTTTGCTCAAAGCCATGTTTACAAGAACGGTGAAAGCAGGTGACGTTCTGCTTTGCGATTCACTGACATGCCAGCTTATATGCCATATTTGTACAAACTTATTTTTAACTACAAAATCAAACGTTAGAACATATCATTTTTGTTAGAGGGTAAGCACTTAGTATGGCTTATTCTTTTGTGCATGACGCCTTAACATGTGTAAAAAGAACACGAAAGAGAAATCTTTGATTAAAAAAATAAATAAATAAAATCATGTGTGGAGTTTTGTTTTCTTCGTTTCACAGAAGCACGATGCTTCCTCTCGTTGCGGAAGAAGCGGCTCAAAGTCTCCACCTGCTGCACGGCCGCAGTTTCTACCCGCAGTGCACCAGAACCTTCGGTTCTCCAGTGGTTTCTGTGGGGAAACTTAAAGGTGTTGCACCTGTTCAGACGAGCTGGCGTGCAGCCGAAAGACGACTAAACGCTAGTTAAAAAAAACAAAAAAACAACTTAATGTGTTGAACTATGACCTAATTCGTGTACGTATTAAGTCTAAAACCAGTGGCAGCAATGGCGTTAAATTGCAATGTTATGTTACTTATTGACATTGAAAACTCGATAAAGGAGAGTTTGTTGTCGGTGTTCCACTCTGCAGCGGGAGATTCGTGTCCATGCGCACAGGTATGTGTGGACGCCTGCAGTGACGTCATTGTGCCGGCGGGGGGCAGCAGAGGCCGCCGTAACGTCAGAGAAGACGTTACGCGCGCATCTCACGCGAAGTCACACTCGGTTGTGACGTCTGTTAGGACTCCTCCAGCCGAGACGTCATCAATGAGAGAATTACTTCTTTGAATTAGAATTCAAACTGTTTGGGTTAACTTTACTGTCCGCTCGCGACCGGAACGCCTTTCTCAATGAAGTGTCATTTATCACGTGACGGGTGGACCTTTTTCACGACGTGCACGTTGACGGGTCATAACAGAGCAATTACCATTACTGCATACCATTGCTCAACCACAATGGTATGCAGCCATTATTATTTTTATGGTCCACCTACAGTCCTCCTTCCTCTGGGGGGATCACTGCTTTTTGTTGCTCCGACTCACAGTTAAGTGTAGCTGTGAAATAAATAACAAATAAATAACATAAAATAAACACTGCACTGTGTGGTAATGTGTTTGAGGTGAAGCAGTGTAGGAAACGCTGCCTCAACCATCCTCCCTGCGTCACTTCTTTAGCGGTCTCTGCTCCATAGAACAGCCCTCAGGAGCCCAGTAGCTTTGTTTGTTCCAGGCTGCTTTCTCTCGGATGCGGTTGCCTCTGGTCCGCGGTGGACAATCGGAATCCCCCGGGACGACCCTAAACAATGTCAAGCCAGCTACCTGCCACGACCTCAAGCCACAACGCCCGGCACGCTAAACCCCCCCGAGTAGGAGCCAAGGGCCTCGCCTCAACCCGCCCATTTCCATCGTCTCGCCGTCTGTCTCCGTTTGTGTCGTGAAGTCTGTCCCCATAAAAAGATTTACATTCCATCTCCGTCCCTCCTGGTGTGGAGGTTAAACTTAATGTCTCTGGGCCGGCCTCTTTCGAAGTGTTGTGGTCCATATTGGTTTCAGTCTCTGCATCTCTATCATTCTCTGTCATTAGTTGCGGTGCAGACTGTGGTCCCGGAGAGCAGGGGGTCCGTGGTTACCGTGGCGATAAACCGTCCCAAGGTGCGTAATGCGGTGGACCAGGAGACAGCGAGGCGTCTCGCAGTGACCCGGGGCTCAAACGTGGCGTTCCTCATGGGAAAAGTGAGACAATGGTAAGAGATGGAATGGATGAGGCCAACCAGCCGAATTCAGCATCAGTCATTTCCCTCCTCTTCCTCTTTACGTCTGTGCCTTTAAAAAAATAAAAATAAAAATGGCTTTATGCAATTTTATGTTAATATCGTGGAATCCTAAGAGCAGTCCACCCTAAAATAAATCCGAAATGCTAATTTGCATTCGTACATAGAGGGAGACGATTAGCTTAGCACACCCCAACAACACAAGACAATGGTGCAAAAGTCGACAAAATCGACTTCACAGCCTTCAACAGTAATTACATCTGTTTGATCTGCACAAAACCCAAAGTGTGAAACCACTGTGTCATTTATGGGGTACCGCGTTGGGACTTCTCCTTTGCCTTTGTCATTTGGAGTCATTATAGTTTGAGAATCTCAGGTGTTTTAATAATGCTTTAATATTAATCGCCATGGATTGAAACGTGTTTTCAAACCGTAGAGGAAGGACATGTTGACAAATGGCCGTGATGCAGTTGTGGAAAGTCATCAGATTGAGACTCCTTCTTAGTTCTTCTGCTCCTTGGAGTCCTCAGAACTGGCGGAAGCACCGTCGGTGACCTGACCAAGTGCACACACACACACACACACACACACACACACACACACACACACACACACACACACACACACACAGGACAAACACACACTTGCCTGCACAGCGTCAGGCGGCCAAAAGCCAGAAACCTGCCGCGGCTCCTATTGCCTGTGAAAATAATCGCGCGCCCAACGAACTCCCTCCCCTCAGTGGAAATAATGTCCACAGCCTGGATCAACCTGTCCGCCTTACAAAGTGCACGGCGGCCCCAGGAGGGACAAGCGCGTACTTTGTCTCGGTACTTCGGAGGTTGGAGCCTCGCCGCATGGCGGCTGCCGAGGGCCAACCGGTCTGCGCCCCGAACAGACAACGGTGTGTGCAGAGGAGCAATTAGCCGGCGCTAAACGGGCTGCCAGCGAGCGGCTCCGCTGTTATTCCCGCCGTGCCTGTAATGCGCTTTTAATCGTCCCGCCACACGTTCCTGTCGCCGCTCTGGAGGCCCCGCGGTTTGACCCGGAGCGCCGCCGGAAGCGCGAGGGATCCATTTTGTTTTAAATCAGCGCCGACGCGAACACTCCCAGCTCTCGTTTTTCAGTGTCAAAGTGTTTTTATGTCATTTGTGAAATTGGGCGCAGTGACTGTCTGCAGGTTCATGTATTTAGAGTGTTTGGGAGGTTTGTTGTCAGGTTCGATCTACACGTGCTCAGCTGAAGTCGTCACACAGGAACGGTATCACGCAGTAAACCAAACAACCGACCGGTTTAATGGAGAAACGAATCGGCGAATAAATCCTTGACCCACTTAAGTATGCAGTCAAATCTGAAAGACTGCACAGTAAATTCCTGCTCTCACATGAACGCATGTGTGGTTATGACCTAATGACAGTGTAGAAGTAGCAGGGGACATTTCTGCATTCATTCTATTTACATTCCTCTTATAATGTTGAAACATGAGCACGTTTTCACTGCGGCCTCAAATTCAAACGCACACGTGTACAAATCCCGGGCTTTCCCAGCTGTTTTGGCTCGTGTCCCCTGCACACGGAGCGGTGGCTGTTTGCGGCTCTTCATCGGTGGTTCTGGATGTCCTATTGCACCAGGTTAATAAAAGACATTACAATTAGTTTTCCAACATGAAAGCTTTTTTTTCAGTGAATGCAGCTTAATTTCACGCAGCACCTCAGGCTCAGTTTTTAATGTGGCCTTTGCTACCCCGCTAATCGTCCCGCCACTCCTCAGCTTTACACTCTGAAGACTGGAGACTTCTTGGTGCACAATGACCCTTCAGCTACGCCTCCCTGTCCGCTGCTCCGTTCAATCCGCCGGGTTCTGGATCCCGCAGTAACGACCGGACCAGCTCCCTCGCGGCTCCTGCTCCTTTCTTCTCCCCCCGCGGGGGGGACAAAGGTCTCCGGGGATCTCCGTCACGTCGCTGCTCCCGTAAACAGCGTGACGCACCCGTTCCTCTACGACTGCCCCGCGTTGACCCACAGCTGTAATCAAAGCTCCCAGCTGATGGGTGTCGCTGGCCCACTTTTGGTTTGTTGTAATCATTTGCGTTACTGCTGCGTTGCGGGGAGAGGAGGACTTTACGAGCCTCCGCCTGAGCCTGTGACATAGTGTTTGTAGGCCTCTTGGGCGATGTTGTAATTACCACATGAATCCAACGGAAGGGGCTGTGGTCGGAGTATGTTAGTGTTCCGTTAATGAGGAGATTGTGCGTGCGTGTGCGTGTTGAGCACATGGGAAGAGAGGCCTTTGTGTGCCAGCGAAGCCCGAAGCAAAGCTGCTGTCCAAATTGCAGCCCTCGGACTCCGGCTCCAACTTGTTGTTTTATTTTTTTTCATCCTCATCATTTTCCCTTCCTCTCCGACTTTCCAGCTGCCATACTTTGTAATTTTGTGGTCTCCGTGCAGGAGGGAATTTGTGCGCTGGTTATGATCTGAGCCAGCCGGCCAATCGCACAGCCTCCCTCAAATTGGAGCAAGATGCCACCAAGGGTCCCGGTCCGATTGGTGAGCTACTGACGGGGTACGTCTGCATTTCCTTATGATCTTAATTGAGGGCTAAAGGTTTCCGCAAAAATGTAAAACCATGAGACGTGGTTAGTAGTGATTTTGGATACTTCTGAGCGTTTTTTGAATGGTATTGAGTCAGAGAAATGCCTCAGTGTTGTCGCCTCCGGCCCACTCGACTAAAAAAAGAAAGGTTAGGGAATAAATGATACTGAAACTACGGCCTCCACCGTCGCATGTGAAGTCCTGTGGACTGAGTGGACCTCCTGTGCACAACGGCACCGTGATGTGTAACAGAATACCTTCTTTTGCATTTAGTGCTCTTTTGTTTGACAGCGATGTTGGACATATTCCACAGGAAGCCGTGCTGCTGCCGTGTGCGTTCCCTCTGTGTTGATTTCACCGGGCTTAAGTCCTCCACATTTGCACGTATCTCCAGTGTGTGTGTTTTGAGGTATTGATGGGGGTTGTTTCTTCCAGGGTTCAGCCCGTTGGGAGCCGTTGGGCCGCTGATGGCAGCAGACAGACGTGCAGGCGCAGGTTTGGTACGTCGAACCCCTTGTTGTCTCCTGCTGCAGGTACTGTTGTACTACGTTGTACTGCTCTTGCACCAGTAGTTGCAGTAGGAGAAGAGCATCTGACAACTACTCCAAACGCATCTCTGCTACTAGTGGTACTAGTGGTACTGCCTCGAATCCTCCCACTACAACAAGCTCACTGCTGATGTTGTAGCTTCTACTCATCTGTTAGTATTCATGTTGCTGCTACCAGGTCAAAGTACTCAAAGCACATTTCCTTTACTTCAGATACTAGTGATACTGATGCTGCTCATATACAGCAGTAGTTCTTCCTCGAGCTCCACCAGCGTATTCTCTGTTTTTCGGTTCCTCC